AATTATGCTTCAGATTGCTGAAAAAAAGAGACATTTTCTACCATAAAAAAAACGTTGTTACAAGATGTGTTTTCAGCCCATAGGTTTAATTTTTTTATAAAATATCTGGTTTTGCAACTGTAGCTGAAATACTATCCAGTCTCCATCACTCACTCTTCCTTTAAGTGTTCCAATGAATATCAAAACTTGTGTGCAACCCATGCTCTTTCTGTTGGTCCCAAATTAAAAATTGACAAGTGGTACATACTCAGTGGGGATGCTCTTGCTGAATTCCTGGAATTCATTTGTAAATATTTGCCTTTTTTCCAGCAAAAGATGTTTCATGATTTTTATTTGTATGATTTATGTTCCAAATTAAGATAACTTACATATATTGTAAACAAGGGTCAACATCCTGTCACTGAACTCCTCACTCTACAGTTTCTGCGGACTGAAACATTTGTGTGTAATGTGGAATATCTCTAAATTGTTTCTAAACTTCTGATTATCATTAGGTGTCATCTAAATACAAGAAATGTAGTGGATGTTGAGGACTGATTCTTCTTTGACAAATGGTAAGATTACTGAAAGGGACAAATACCTCACATACCTTCCAGGTCATTTTGAAACAGGAAGCTTGGACCAGGAAACAACACAACTTCTTTAGAAAGTAATTTGTTATATTTTGAAGTGTAAAACATGATCTTGGAGCACAATGTATAGCACCAACATATTTGATCTAGACTGCCAGACAAACGAATACACTAAAAACCTCTGTACACATAGAGAAAACAGGATAAGAAGCCACATAAATATAATGTATTAATGGTGTCCTCTGATGAATACACTAAAAAACTATGTACACAAATAGAAAAATGTTTAAGAATCGACATAAGTATAATGTATTAATGGCGTCCTCTAACGAATACACTAAAAAAACTATGTACACAAATAGAAAAATGTTTAAGAAGCCAACATAAATTTAATGTAATAATGGTGTCCTCTGATGAATACACTAAAAACCTCTGTACACATAGAGAAAACAGGATAATAAGCCAACTGGCACTCTGAGTCTCCGACTTCCTGTATTAATTGCCATTGTATCATGGGTCATGTCTAGCTTACAATCATGAATGAATAAAGTTGATGTAAAGTAATGTGGATTATCATACTCTAATAGTATTCTTCAATAAATAACACATTAAATTTGATTCATTTGAAACTGAATACGTTATTGCCAGACCTTTTATCACACATTCATGTTTTTCTCCACTAATTCATATTTATTGCTTATCTACAATTTAGCATATATTTTTCAATAAAATTTACAATATCCAATTTCGTTGAGTATGCCATGTTTATATGGAGGGGAGGGTAAGACGTTTGTCAAATTTCAGTAGCTTCCTTATTTGTATGAACGTGCAGCGCCAGCTGTCTTTTGTTGTGTGTAGAAGACACCTAGTGGAATTATTTGTCAGTAAATAGAGTCCAAGGGTAACTTGAAGTCTTGGCCCACTCCATCATGGTGGCAAAAAGCTGGCTTGTGCCACGCCTCCAATGTCAAAACATACTTGTAGTCGCCATGATGCTTCCTCCTGGAAAAGTTAATTTATGGTGGCAATGTTTCTTGCAGATCTGTTCATTATCTCAGTGCTTCATTGCTACTACTCGTGTGATATTGGGAAATAATTAGCTGTTTGTGCCTTCACAGTTCATTTACGTAGAATTTTATCCTTTTTTTTCAAAATAAAATACCAATTTGAAAGTAATTATACAGAAGTTGATGTTTATTGCTGTGTGACAGAAATTAGGGAAGTCGTTTTTGGGGTAAAATTTTCACTCCATCATTAGGAAGATTTTTTGTCTTGTTTACAGTTAGTTTACATATTTTTGAAAAAAGATTCAGCAGTATTTGACAGATTGGGATGCTGGAAAGAGATATTTGTGTGAGTGATGTCTTGTGACGATCCAGGGATAGAATTAGGTTGTTAGAGGTGGATGTGACACAACTTGGGGTTGTTCGTTATTAGCAGTGATACTCATGGTTTTATTTAATTTGTGCAAGATTTTCACTTTAAAAAATGATGATTATCATATGAATGTGTTCTGAAATGAGTTCATGATCAGAACATTTCGATACCTTTCTATATATTGTTCACAGAGAATGGAATTTCTTTCATAAGTGTTAAAATAAAACTGATTCTAGTTTCCTTTGACTAGTTTGTACAAAGAGGGTGATGAGATATTTCTAGAAATATTGTAAGCTTGAAGCTAAAACAGAAAGTAAAATTCCTTATCTTGAATTCTTTTACCCTCAGCAAATGACTTTTAGATTACTATAATTGTGAGCAATAAATATATTGTAATTAGTAAAACATTAATTGATAAATTGTCTTGCTATGAATAGATTAACAAGATCACCTATGAGGAAAAATTGATGGCATTTTTCTACATTGCAAAAATATTTTCATTTCCCACTTGTACAAAGGACCCGTGAAGATCCGGGGTAGAATAGGTCTTCAGCAACTCATGCTTGCCGGAAAAGGCGACCATGCTTGTTGTAAGAGGCAACTAATGGGATCGGGTGGTCAGGCTCGCTGATTTGGTTAATGCTTGTCATCGTATCCCAATTGCGTGGATCGATGCTCCTGATGTCAATCACTGGATTGTCTGGTCCAGATATAATTATTTACAGACCGCTGCATATAACTGGAATATTGCTGAGTGCAGCGTTGAACAACAAACAAACAAACACTTGTACAAGGCATGTTATCACCTGTAGTTGCAGGTGAAAAGATCACATTTACAATAGTAGATCCCTGTCTGCAAAGGGCTCTTGCCTTGCTGTACCTATGCAAGCATCCAACAATTATACATGTATGTAACTAAATGTATTTATGGAAGTTCAGAGCATTGGGAACAGGACATGATGTATTACCTGTGAGTGAGAGCTAGGGAAGACTGTTGTTATCTATGTGTGGCAGGTGTGTCAACACACTCCAGGAAACAAACATCTCATTCTGTAGAAACAACATCATTGTTGTAGCCCCAAATATCCTAATATAAACCTTACAGTGTGGGTATTCGTGAGCTCATGTTGTCAACTAATGCTTTGTTAATAATAAGTGAACATTGGTCAAAAACAGAAAAAAATGCATTGTTTCATTTCAGTGAAGTCTCGGCAGGAGCTCTTTTAAAAAATGTTGGGGATTCGAGGTTACTTTGTCAAACCCAATACATTACCTCATTCTTTGAACTCCCAAAGATGCCATATCTTTGGTGGATATGTATAGTGTAGTGTGTATGTTGTGGGTATGCATTAATGTGTCTTTAAAACTGTACTGTGAATTGTGTCTGTTGACAATGGATTAATGTGTCTGTTGACAATGGATTAATGTGTCTGTTGACAATGGATTAATGTGTCTGTTGACAATGGATTAATGTGTCTGTTGACAATGGATTTATGTCTGTTGACAATGGATTAATGTGTCTGTTGACAATGGATTAATGTGTCTGTTGTGGGTATGGATTAATGTGTCTGTTGTGGGTATGGATTAATGTGTCTGTCAACTGTACAGGGAAATGTGTCTGTTGTGGGTATGGATTAATGTGTCTGTTGTTGGTATGGATTAATGTGTTTGTTGTCGGTATTGATTAATGTGTCTGTTGACAATGAATTAATGTGTCTGTTGTGGGTATGGAATAATGTGTCTGTCTGTTGTGGGTATGGATTAATGTGTCTGTTGTGGGTATGGATTAGTGTGTCTGTTGTGGGTATGGATTAATGTGTCTGTTGACAATGGATTAATGTGTCTGTTGTGGGTATGGATTAATGTGTTTGTTGTGGGTATGGCTTAATGTGTCTGTTGTGGGTATGGATTAATGTGTCTGTTGTGGGTATGGATTAATGTGTCTGTTGTGGGTATGGATTAATGTGTCTGTTGTGGGTATGGATTAATGTGTCTGTCAACTGTACAGGGAAATTTGTCTGTTGTGGGTATGGATTAATGTGTCTGTCTGTTGTGGGTATGGATTAATGTGTCTGTTGTGGGTATGGATTAATGTGTCTGTTGTGGGTATGGATTAATGTGTCTGTTGTGGGTGTGGATTAATGTGTCTGTCAACTGTACAGGGAAATGTGTCTGTTGTGGGTATGGATTAATGTGTCTGTCTGTTGTGGGTATGGATTAATGTGTCTGTTGTGGGTATGGATTAATGTGTCTGTTGACAAAGGATTAATGTGTCTGTTGTGGGTATGGATTAATGTGTTTGTTGTGGGTATGGATTAATGTGTCTGTTATGGGTATGGATTAATGTGTCTGTCAACTGTACAGGGAAATGTGTCTGTTGTGGGTATGGATTAATGTGTCTGTTGTGGGTATGGATTAGTGTGCCTGTTGTGGGTATGGATTAATGTGTCTGTTGTGGGTATGGATTAATGTGTCTGTTGTGGGTATGGATTAATGTGTCTGTTGTGGGTATGGATTAATGTGTCTGTTGACAATGGATTAATGTGTCTGTTGACAATGGATTAATGTGTCTGTTGTGGGTATGGATTAATGTGTCTGTTGTCGGTATGGATTAATGAGTCTGTTGTCGGTATGTATTAATGTGTCTGTCAACTGTACAATGAAATTTGTCTGTTGTCAGTATGGATTAATGTGTCTGTTGACAATGGATTAATGTGTCTGTCAACTGTACAAGGAAATGCTTGTGTTGTCGGTATGGATAAATGTGTCTGTCAACTGTACAGAGAAATGTGTCTGTTGACTATGGATTAATGTGTCTGTCAACTGTACAGAGAAATGTGTCTGTCGGTACGGATTAATGTATCTGTTGTAGGTATGGACTAATGAGTCTGTTGCCTGTATGGATTAATGTGTCTGTTGACAATGGATTAATGTGTCTGTTGTGGGTATGGATTAATGTGTCTGTTGTCGGTATGGATTAATGAGTCTGTTGCCTGTATGGACTAATGTGTCTGTTGCCTGTATGGATTAATGTGTCTGTTGTCTCCACAGCCTGATGACAGCCTGCTGGTGGTTGGGATGGCTGATGGTCTTCTCTCTATCAAAAAGAGGAAGAAAGATGAAGGGGAAGTGTTGGTCAAGAAGAAGAAGAAAGCCTCATTCCGCTACACACTGGCTGGGAAAACCCACATGCCACACCAGGTGAGCTACATCTCTTTCTTATTCTTGCAGGTGATCACATTCAGACCCTGTCCACTGAGACTTACACATTCAGGCCTTGTCCGCCGTAGTATGTGGTTCTTCATTCTGATGGTTGCTGGTTTGAATCCCTGACTTTAATCCCTGGTTTGTCAGCACCACACTCATACTCATGGGCGTCAAGTGTATAACTTCTTTCCTCCCATTTTTAGCCGACACTTTGTGATGTAATGAAATAATCTTATAAAGAAATGTAAATAAAATTCGCTCACTCTCACATTGTCACAATGGACAACAATAATTGGTGTCTCCTGCCCTGGAGCTAGCTCTGTGTCACTCTGCTTGTGTCTCAGGTCAGGTGACCTACGTCCCGTCATTCACACAACCCCTTATAACACACTGTGTGTCAAAATTGTTTAAATTGAATCATTCAGTGATGCTCTAGATTACATTATTAAAAGGTTTCACTGAGCAAATTACACTGGCATCAAAGCACAGCAAACTCTGTAAATTACTTTGTTGTAATTTGTAGGAAAGAGGATTAAGGTGACATGCTCGACATGTCAAGCACGTTATTAGCACCATAATGAAATGGTAATGGTGCCAGGAATGGGCAAGAATCTGTACTTTTTGCAAATAGTCATTTCATGAAACAGACCGGTGTTTCAGGTGCAGCTCCTTTGGCTATCCCAAAAATCTTAAATGGTTCTACATGATTGATCACAACGCCCAAACAATGTTAAATGGCTCTTTTTCCCAATGGTTCTCTATATGGTGCAACATAGGTTGCATATTAAGACTTACGTGTTTGCTTTTCTGCAAATAATCTGAAATATTTGACATACACTTGTATTAAATACATTGGTATTGTTGCGTGTTGGGTGCTGATAGCGACTTCTGCACATAGACCTTGAAATTAGAAACACATTGTCAGATGTGATAGTATCTACAGAAAGCAATGATTGTGACAGAAGCTGGAAAATTATGAAATGATGGACATATTTTGTGCTAGTTTCTCATGCTGTCATAATGCGCACGTTATTTATTTGAGGTCTTTGAAATGAAGAACAACTTGAACGGCCTTATCAAATGAAACTGTAGATTTATTCCCACAGTGTATGCGTACAGTAGATGATATTGAGGGAGGAATGTATATAAAACATCCCATCTTTCTCAAGGATGTAGTCTGCTTGGTATTGTGGGTCATGGTTCAGTCAGTCTTGCTGACATACACAGTTTTGTCATTTGTGTTTGAATTAAGGAGTTGTTGGTGCAGTGACTAGAAATCAGGGTTGAACATTGCGGGACACAAATATGTCATGTACTGTTAAAACTGTGACAAGCCTAAGTACAGTGTTTTCCTGGGGGTCAGTGGGAAGTTCTTAGTACGGAATTGTTGCTCTTGGGTTTATGTTGTCATGCACTTGTCATGCAGAGTGGGGTGTCTTGGGCCCAGTAATATATGCACTTGTCATGCAGAATGGGGAGTCTTGGGCCCAGCAATACATGCACTTGTCATGCAGAATGGTAAGTCTTGCGCCCAGTAATACGTGCACTTGTCATGCAGAGTGGGGAGTCTTGGGCCCAGTAATACATGCACTTGTCATGCAGAATGGTAAGTCTTAGGCCAGCAATACATGCACTTGTCATGCAGAATGGGGAGTCTCTGGGTACAACATGGTTATATACCTAAGATTTCATATACTCAGAGATTAACGAGAACAACTCACAGGGAGGCAGATGATGAAGGGATGGAGCCTTCAGTGACCCTCTCCTACCCTGGTGTTGGTCACTTATTTCATAGAGGTACTAGCATCTGTAGTGCAATCATCTTCCCGAGGCAATAAAAGTCCAGTTTCCACCTTTGCAGAACTAGGCTGGAATTCCGGAGTTTGGTTGGATTTATGAGTTTATGCATAGTCCAATCAAAATCGCGTAACAAAAAACACACCCGGTTCGTAGACAATGTTGATTTCAACGTGCAGATTTAGGTCAACTGCAGGATTTGCAAACCATGTGTATGGCCAACTTAATTGCCGTCAACAAATATTTTCGCGGGGTAAAACCTGTTTTATTACAACATAGATCTTGATTATCGATCAGATCATCTTGACAGGGCACCGATATTTTGTTTGAAGCAAATGCAAGTGATATCAGAGGTAGAATCTGATTGGTCAATATGAAGGACATAGAAGGGACATTACTCATATTAGCCACTGGAACCCAAAAACCCGATTGAACCCCAAAATTCCAGTTTAATTCGGCAAGGGTGGGCACTGAACTTTTAACGCCCTTGCCTCGGGAAGATGTAGCACAAAATAGCATTGAGAGAATAAAGAAGTTGAAATCCATACAACAATTCTCGCTTCATTGATACTACAGCTTCTAAGATGGCTTTTACCCCGGGAAATGGTATTGTTTTTATGGGATGCAGAAATAGATTTGTGTTTAGTGTTACCTAATGGGAAATGACATAATTAGAAGAAAGTGATTAATGACAGTGTAAATCATTGTCATCATTGTCAGATGTTTAATTTTGGAACAAAGGGTAATCCATCTTTGATGTGATGATGGCTAAAACATGCATGATGTTGCGGTATCACAGTGTAGTTGAAACGTAGAAGTTGATGTGGACGTTGTTGCCTTGAGAACTGTCGATCGTGTGGTGCATGTGGTAGTCATGTCCTTGGTTTGACCTCCATCGGGGCAAACATTGGCTATTCTGTGCATTTCGTTGTGGTTGTTGACTCAAACATGCCATTAGGTTAGTTGTGTTCAGTTTAACATAATCAGAGTTTGATCTGAGTGTCATGTGACAGTACATTTGTTGTTCAGACTGTTCAATTTTTTATGTAGAACAGATGTAGGCCATCGGCGCATAGTACATTATCTAAACAGTATACTCTGAAGTAACCAGCCAGTGAAATGGTTTAACACATCAGTAGCAGATGCCTACATCCGTACGAAATATAGAATTCACTAGCTGTTGAAAAGTGATTACACAAAAACAGGAAATTATTTTGTCATAATACGTGTGGGAAATCACATCTTCACAACAAACCAGAACAGAAGGTATCAGTAGTTGAAAATACACATCATTGGACATGGGCGTTGCAGATCAGGAGGAAGGGTGCAGGGGTGCAAACCTCCCCTTTTTGAAACATATTGCAGCCTGTTATCGTTTTGCTTAAGCATGTACCCATGACATAAGCTCATGACATAAAACGTGTGTCATACCGCAGTGACATATGTATGCAAATTTGATAACCGGAAACAGCACGGTGCATGGGAATTGGTGTTTATACAAACAACAGAATAACACGGATCCCCTTGATCATGTCGATGTTAGAGATAGAAGGTGATACAGTGTTGTCAAATTGTACAATGGGAATGAGCAGGGGTCCGGAAAATTTAAAATCCCAATCGGACATTTGCATTTAGGCAGCGCCCCCTTCAAATAGCGTATTTTGTACGACCTCATTCCGAATGAGGTATCTAAAGGATGGTAGGAGTATTTGGGTTGGAGGTGATCAGAGTTTATTGAAAGGATAACAGCTTGATTTTTGGAAATCAGGAAGCTGCACAAGCCGGTGAGAAACTGTTCTCAGATGGGTTTACGTTCAGGAAGCACTGTGCAGAATGTATGAGTGTTAATTGTTTGTCACTGAAGCGTTTCCTTGGCACTGGCTTGCTTCACACAAAACAAATAGAAAGGAAAACAGAAAACTTTTTTTTTTGTCATCTTGAGTGGTTGTATTCCTGCTCTCGTGGAATGCAGTTTTTCATGAACTACATCGTATCATTGAATATTTTTTTTACATTCTTTATGTGCAACAAAATCTCAGTGATTACGTATAGAAAACGGAGTTTACTTAACCAGAGTGTGAGTATTTCAATTTCATCAGGATTGACAGGACAACTGAGTTCTTGGCATTGATCTTTGTTGAAACTCTTCTTCAGAGGAGTGAAGGGATGAACTTGGCACTTCATGACGTGATCTATTACTTGGGATGATCAGGCCATTTCGTATCTATTGCATCCTGGGAGCTCACTGTAACTTATCTCTCCCTTTTCATGTTTTCGTTGTACATCAAACCATCAGAAGTGAAATGTAGTCCTGTGTTTATTTGTTGAAATGGTTGTCTAGTCTGAGGCTTGAGGTGCAAAAGACTGTTCAGTGAGTGAGTGAGTGAGTATGGTTTTACGCCGCTTTTAGCAATATTCCAGCAATCTCACGGCGGGGGACACCAGAAATGGGCTTCACACATTGTACCCATGTTGGGAATCGAACCCGGGTCTTCGGCGTATCGAGCGAACGCTTTAACCACGAGACTACCCGACCTCCCCGTGTTCAGAGTTGATCCATTTCAATGGTTACTCTTGGGTCTGAGTGCACTTTCCTATGAAAACTATCGATATTTTTCACACAAACCTAAGCACCCATGGTTCAACAACCTTGTTTTATTTTCTGTATATAAGATAAGGAAGAGAATTTATGGATGTCAACTTCTTTATTATGAGGAACACAATATTTCAGAGTGATGAAGGAGTAAGTATATACTCCTCATAATAAAGAAGATCACATCTATAAAACCCTGATGAAGGAGTAAGTATATACTCTAATCTTTGCATTCCTCATTATATAGAAATTGACATTCATAAATTCTCTTCCTTGTGTGTATCTCTTCGAAATGCCATTCAAAGATTTGTATATAAGGCGATATGCAAGAACTCTGTGGTTTACCGTGAGGACACTGTGTGAGTCGCCCATGAGTGATGCACGGTACACATGTTCCCTGAGCTGTTTGCGTGTGCACGTGCACATCAGAGAAATTATGTAGCAATGACTGTACAACCAACTCATGCATGTTAATCATGTACCTAAACAACACACTGAACAAAGCACCAACATCTCCATTCATTCACAGATTAAGTGCTGGTCTTGTTTCTAGGACATATCGGTTTATCAATTCCACTCAATTTCTGACATGTGGCTGTGGCAGAAGACTACACGCACTAGTCTTTGGTAGAGATTTCCTAGGTTAGGGCAACAAACGTAATGTGGTTTCCCTGAAATTACGCTTCAAGTTAAATGATGGTGAAGAAAGTTCTGACATTGGCAAAATATTAATATTTAATAATATTGGTAAAAATTCTGGTAAAGACAAAGCTTCCATGGTTGAGCTTAAAATAGAATCTTCTTTTTTGTTGAAGTTGTTGCATTCGAAAGTTATTCTGCCCTTTAATCAAACTTTTGGACACAAAAAAAGGAAAATAATATAAGCCCTTTCATTTTCACTTTGTGAGCCACTAAAAGATGAACCTCTTGGTAACATGTTTGCTGAAGCTGTAATGCATTAGATGTGTTTGCACCAGCAGAACATCGTCAAGAACAAAGCCTTGTCAACACCAGTCAGTAGTCCATGGGAGACAACTCTGTTCTTGCACTGTGTCATCAGCAAGAGCAGAAGTTCTGGAAAAGGATTTTATGAAGAGCTACTACTATAAATGTTTTAGGACATGTGTTCCAGTAATCAGATATATATATCAGTTAGTGATATTTAATGACAATAAACTGGGAATACACTCTATACACCAATTACCTTAATGAGTGAAATATGAACGTATTAAGGTATATTTTTGTAGATATTAATGTGGATTATGAGATCACAAATTTAAAGCTTTATGTGGTAAGATTTCAACAATTTGTAGTTCAGTAATCTTGTTTGATGTGTTGAATATATGAGATCATCAGTATCTTTGCAGTAACTATTTATGTATCTGTGAGGCCACATGGGGACCTGCATTAGACGTGGTCCCGAGCAGAATTTTTATTGCTAGATGACTAAATTAGATGAACTCTTCAGGGTCGCTGACTTGGTTGATTGTGTGCCAACATACCCTCATGTCATGAGATGGTGCTCACAATATCAACCACTGGTTTGCTTGGCCCAGACTCAGTTATTTAAACATGTTAGACTGCCGTGAATATTGGATTATTGCTGACTGGCGTATTACAACAAAGAAAAGACCCATAGCTGTTGATCTTTGACACTTGACTGTTGTTACACACAGTGTGTGTGTGATGAGTGTGTGTAGACATTCCTTCCATGTAGCGCGTCATTCCAAAAGATGTTTAAAGATGGTACTTGTTGTTACCCTGTCTGGCGCTCGGCATTAAGGGGCTTAAACAAGAACTGGTCGGCTCGGAGTCAGTATACTGTTTCTGGGTGGGGTATTCATGTTAAACTGCGGCATGGTATCTCAGTGGGCTAGCACTATAAATCGGCATCAGTCTGGACTAGTACAAGCAGACACACACACACACGTGCATGCACGTCCGTATAGAAGTGCAATAATCTTGGACGCGACGTTAAACCCAACCTCACCTCACCTCACCTCACCTCACCTCACCTCACCTCACCTCACCTTCCATGTAGCTGGCTGTGATCAGAGGGGATGAACCTGTGCTCGCGGTAGTTCCTGAATGACTGATTCTGATTTATAGAATCAGGTTATCTTATGTCTGCTTGAGGGTAATGAAGCTGTGGAGGTAATCAAGTGATAATGGTTCTTTTTTCATGTTTATGTTAATGTGAAGATGGCTTCAAACATTCCTTGTCCTAATTTAGTGTTAGAAGTGTAGTAAAATCTCTTTACATCTTCCATGTGGTCGGGTACCGATCTAGCCTGAGAACTGTAGAACCTATAAACCAGTATATGAGGTACCGGTATATCCTGTAACCTGTATCAGGTGTATCCTGTAACCAGTGCATGATATCAGGCATATCCTGTAACCAGTGCATGATATCAGGCATATCCTGTAACCAGTGTATAATATCAGGTATATCCTGTAACCAGTGCATGAAATCAGGTATATCTTGTCACCAGAGTATATCAGGTATATCCTGTAACCTGTAACCTGTATCAGGTATATCCTGTAACCTGTATCAGGCATATCCTGTAACCAGTGTATAATATCAGGTATATCCTGTAACCAGTGCATGAAATCAGGTATATCTTGTCACCAGAGTATATCAGGTATATCCTGTAACCTGTAACCTGTATCAGGTATATCCTGTAACCAGTGCATGATATCAGGTATATTCTGTAACCAGTGCATGATATCAGGTAAATTCTGTACCCTGTATCAGGTATATCCTGTAACCAGTGCATGACATCAGGTATATCCTGTAACTAGTGCATGGTATCAGGTATATTCTGTAACCAGTGCATGATATCAGGTATATTCTGTAACCTGTATCAGGTATATCCTGTAACCAGTGCATGACATCAGGTATATCCTGTAACTAGTGCATGGTATCTGGTATATTCTGTAACCTGTATCAGGTATATCCTGTAACCAGTGCATGATATCAGGTATGTCCTGTAACCTGTATCAGGTATATCCTGTGACAAGTTTATGATATCAGGTATATCCCGTAACCAGTGTAACATACGGAGCCTTACATTGTGATGTTGTGCACATACAGAGCCTTACATTGTGATGTTGTGCACATACAGAGCCTTACATTGTGATGTTGTGTACATACAGAGCCTTACATTGTGATGTTGTGTACATACAGAGCCTTACATTGTGATGTTGTGTACATACAGAGCCTTACATTGTGATGTTGTGTACATACAGAGCCTTACATTGTGATGTTGTGTACATACGGAGCCTTACATTGTGATGTTGTGTACATACAGAGCCTTACAATGTGATGTTGTGTACATACAGAGCCTTACAATGTGATGTTGTGTACATACAGAGCCTTACATTGTGATGTTGTGTACATACGGAGCCTTACATTGTGATGTTGTGTACGTACAGAGCCTTGCATTGTGATGTTGTGTACATACAGAGCCTTGCATTGTGATGTTGTGTACATACAGAGCCTTACATTGTGATGTTGTGTACATACGGAGCCTTACATTGTGATGTTGTGTACATACAGTGCCTTACATTGTGATGTTGTGTACATACGGAGCCTTGCATTGTAATGTTGTGCACATACAGAGCCTTACATTGTGATGTTGTGTGCAGGGCGACCTAGTGGTGGAACACAAGAGGAGGGAGCACCTGGCCAAGTATGACGTCTACTTCAGGAAGTTCCAGTATTCTAAAGCCCTGGACACAGCTTTCAATGTGAGTATACTGGAGACAAGGGCCATGACTACGTGTCATCTAACAATCCCCTTGACTTTGTTAAAGAGGCTTTTTTCTAAAATATCAGATGAACAACAGAAAACTACTTCTAATGAATTGAGTATTAACTTTCTAAGAACAAATATGTATTGAAAACAACAGCCATGAAAGGACTGAAAGGATTGATTGCCAGACTGACGTCCAGTGAGGCCCCTATGTCATTTTGTTTGATCACACTTCATGTTTATCTGGGATTTGGTTGTCTAAACTTAGGCTTTAATATAGCTCCTGTGATAATCATTGTTATGATGAATTATGGATGTTGAAGTTCAGCGGTATTGTTGCAGCCAAAGCTGACGCTGTTTAACAGGCCGGAGATCACAGTGAGCGTGATCCAGGAGCTGATCCGTCGTGGAGCGCTGCGTGCAGCACTGGCAGGTCGACCTCACTCCTACCTCAAGATTATCATGAAGTTCATCAGGAGGTAACACTATGTGTTCAATAAGAGAAATTGTTATAACTCCATCAAAAATCTTGCAATTCCATTGGTTAACCCTTACGATGTGACAAGACAATGCATTTCGATGTAGACCCCCATATCACCTGTCTGACACTGACCTCGAGTATTGACTTGTTACATGATCAGTATTGACCTGTCATGTCATGGATATTTACTCATCTGCTAGAAAACAAGATAGTGTCTGGTACTAACATTTGACAGTTCGCCGCTAAGATACTGTAATGAAACAGAGGACAGTTTTGAGGCTTCATAAACAAATGATTACTCTTGACAAGATCAATACACAGAAACTAAGACTCTCGGACCCGATTTCTTCAGCAATCAGACCACCTTATGGGTTTGGTCTGAGGGCTCCTCTTTTCGCATATTGACCTTGTCGAGTGTTATTATTTGTATAAAATCGGGGGCATGGGTGGCCCAGTCGTCTAAGGCGCCACGAGTCGCTGTGCAGAGTTGCGTCCCTTGGGTACGCCAGAAAACTATGATTGTGGGTTCGAATCCCGGTTTGCCCCTATTGTTTCTAGGTGTGTCAGCACCATACCTGTGCTCGTGGGTTTCACCAAAGTGGTAAATGTCTGAGACCTGCATCACTTCGGGCTTTCCTCCCACATTAAGCTGACAGGCTGTGATATAACTGGAATACTGTTAAAAGTGGCGTTAAACCCAACTCACTCACTCACTTATAATAATCAATAACATAAAACATTTCGAGACAGTTTTGCAGACAATTTTGTTGTTGCGTCTTTTGAACTATAGGAGAAGGTACCTCGCCAAGTGGCAAAGATGGCTACAGTGTAGCATGTTCATAGATACAATGAACCTGTTACATGGATCTATTTATAGTATTAAGTAGGCTTGGAAGTTATTGTTACCAAAAAGAACCACCATCGCAACCCAGTTCGGGCAAGACTGCACTTCACCACTTACTGTACTGATCTGTTACAGACACATCACAGACCAGAGGTTTGCCCACACACTCACGGATGTCGCCAATCTCCTCATTGGTAAGTCTTGACTGCAGGCCAGCCTGTGGTGGTTGCTGTAGGAATACTTTACATAAAGCTGTAAAAATACACCCACGAGAACATTTTAAAGCCATTTCCTAATCTTGTGTGAAAATGTGTCTTCTCAAAGGGGATTTACTGATGATGCCTGAGAACCAAGATTGTTATTGTTTTAAATAACCCATGCCTGTGGGTTTCACCAAAGTGATATAACTGAAATTGTTTTCAAAGAACTCTCTCTCTCTCTCTCTCTCTCTCTCTTCCCACTCAATCACTCACAATTCCTAACTTGCATGTGTTCCGCTGGTGTTGCAGACTTGTACTCTGACCAGATTGGTCAAGGGACGGAGCTGGACCACCAGCTGGATCAGCTGAAGGAGGTGCTGGGCTACGAGATGCTGTACATGAAGGACCTGCTGGAGCTGATGGGGGCCATGGACACTCTGTTCTCGGCCGCCACACCCCTCGCTACTCCCAGCAACGACACAGCCACCACCCCCAACATCGACCTCACACCATCCACGTCAGCTCAGGCTGTTTGACCACAGCTCCAGTGACTGCAGTGTACATATGTATATAATAAACCCAAGAAATCACACTGTTGTTTGCTGTGCTTGTTATTATTGTTTATGTTTGGTTCTTCCTCAGAGTTTCTTATGCTGGTTGTTATTGGATTACTGTTTCCTGGTGAGGGGCTTGGGTCCCTGTCATCCTAAAGCGAGGCAATTCACTATGCAGAGTTCCACTCCTTACTCATGACAGGATGTGGCTTAGAATTCCAGAATCACCCTGTTTATGATGCTGGTTGTGCATGTGGGTTTCACCAATGTGCCAAATGACCTACCTGCCTGACTAGTGACCTACCTGTCTGACTAGTGACCTACCTGCCTTACTAGTGACCTACCTGTCTCACTAGTGACCTACCTCCCTGACTAGTGACCTATCTGCCTGACTAGTGACCTATCTGCCTGACTAGTGACCTACCTCCCTGACTAGTGTCCTATCTGCCTGACTAGTGACCTATCTGCCTGACTAGTGACCTACCTGCCTGACTAGTGACCTATCTGCCTGACTAGTGTCCTACCTGCCTGACTAGTGACCTACCTGCCTTACTAGTGACCTACCTGTCTTACTAGTGACCTACCTGTCTTACTAGTGACCTACCTCCCTGACTAGTGACCGACCTATCTGCCTGACTAGTGACCTATCTGCCAGACTAGTGACCTACCTCCCTGACTAGTGACCTATCTGCCTGACTAGTGACCTATCTGCCAGACTAGTGACCTACCTCCCTGACTAATGACCAACCTGCCTGACTAGTGACCCATCTGCCGGACTAGTGATCTGCCTGACTAGTGACCTACCTGCCTGAACTATCTGCCTGACTAGTGACCTACCTGACTAGTGACCTATCTGCCTGACTAATGACCAACCTGCCTGACTAGTGACCTATCTGCCTGACTAGTGACCTACCTGCTTGACTAGTGACCTATCTGCCTGACTAGTGACCTACCTGCCTGACTAGTGACCTATCTGCCTGACTAATGACCAACCTGCCTGACTAGTGACCTATCTGCCTGACTAGTGACCTACCTGCTTGACTAGTGACCTATTTGTCTGACTAGTGACCAACCTGCCTGACTAGTGACCCATCTGCCGGACTAGTGATCTGCCTGACTAGTGATCTGCCTGACTAGTGATCTGCCTGACAAGTGACCTACCTGCCTGACTAGTGACCTACCTGCCTGAATAGTGACCTACCTGCCTGACTATTGATCTGCCTGACTAGTGACCTACCTGCCTGACTAGTGACCTACCTGCCTGACTAGGTATCTACCTGCCTGACTAGTTAGCTACCTTCCTTACTAGTGACCTACCTGCCTGACTAGTGACCTACCTGCCTGACTAGTGACCTACCTGCCTGACTAGTGATCTACCTGCCTGACCTGTGGCCTGTGCTGCCTGACTAATGACCTACCTGCCTGACTAGTAAGCTACCTGCCTGACTACTGACCTACCTGTCTCATGGAGACAGTCGTCTTACCCACAGGTACGGGGTTCAGGTGGTCCGGCTCTGTAACAGTGATGATGGAGACTGTGTCATCTACCCCACAGGTATGGGGTTTAGGAGGTCCGGCTCTGTAACAGTGATGATGGAGACTGTGTCGTCTACCCCACAGGTATGGGGTTCAGGTGGTCCGGCTCTGTAACAGTGATGATAGAGACTGTGTCATCTACCCCACAGGTATGGGGCTCAGGTGGTCCGGCTCTGTAACAGTGATGATGGAGACTGTGTCATCTACCCCACAGGTATGGGGCTCAGGTGGTCCGGCTCTGTAACAGTGATGATGGAGACTGTGTCGTCTACCCCACAGGTACGGGGCTCAGGTGGTCCGGCTCTGTAACAGTGATGATGGAGACTGCCATCTACCCCACAGGTACGGGGTTTAGGTGGTCCGGCTCTGTAACAGTGAAGATGGAGACTGCCATCTACCCCACAGGTACGGGGTTTAGGTGGTCCGGCTCTGTAACAGTGAAGATGGAGACTGCCATCTACCCCACAGGTATGGGGTTCAGGTGGTCCGGCTCTGTAACAGTGATGATGGAGACTGTGTCATCTACCCCACAGGTACGGGGCTCAGGTGGTCCGGCTCTGTAACACTGATCATGGAGACTGCCATCTACCCAAGGTGTGGGAAATAAAGCTGCTGACAATTAGGTGTTAAACTGTACATCGGTGAATCATAAGTTTTCATGCAGCCTTACGATACACGATACGTTTTCTTCTGTATCCATATAGACGTTTCACTTGCTAAAACCGTAAAAGGCGACTATGCTTGTAAGAGGCAACTAACGGATCGGGTGGTCGGACTCGCTGACTTGGTTGATGTCATCGTATCCCAATTGCGTTGGTCGATGCTGATGATATCAATCACTGGATCGTCTGGTCCAGACTCGATTATTTACAGACTGACGGTCATATAGCTGGAATATTGTATAATGAGTGTGGCGTTAACAACAAACAAACAAACTTGCTAAAAAATATTAATTTAGTTTAATTACCCCAATTAATTTTGTCAGTTAAATATCTCAAATTGTGTTGTAATTAGCGTTCCAAGTTCACAACTAAAAATAGCAGCTAGGAACATGACTACGGCTAGCTTTTCCTTAAGAACATGCTCCGAAATAATTATAGTCAAGACGTATCCACGCAATTTAATATGTGTATCGTGATATGTGAGTGAGTGAGTATGACTTTATTCCATAAATAAATATGCAATATTTTTTAAATAGCAATATTCCAGCAGTATCATGGCGGGGGACACCAGAAAAGGGCTTCACACATTGTACCCATGTCGAGAATCGAACCCAGGTTTTCGGCGTGGCGAACGAACGCTTTAACCACTTGGCTATCCGACCGCCCCTTATCGCGATATGTATTTATGGTATGGTGACCTTGCGGTAACGTTTCGCCCCTACTAACAACCATGGTAACCTTCCTCAGAATGCATTATTTAGGGGGTAGAGCAGGAATAGTGCTATTGCTGTGACCTGAAACTAGAAATAAAGGTCATTCGGTGAAGAAGGATGTACAAACTTATACTTAAGTGGTTTCAGCAAACGATTTTTGATATATACAAGAAGGTTAACTGAAGCGTATTGGAGAGGGATACCTGGTTTGCTCTTGCGCAATGTATTTGTGAAGAAATGAAAAGAAAAACATGTAAAATATATTATTTCACCTCAGACGTACTTTTTAGGTCTATGGCCGTCAAATCGGCTGTTTCAGAGGGCGTTTATTGTGAATTGACAACCTCTGACTGATCAATCAGAATTTCCAAATTCATGGTATAATACACGGATAAATGATGTCAACAGACTCACCTGAATTTGCAACTTCCCCAGGTCATAAGCATTAGAAGTTGAGCCAGATAAACGTAGTACACATTGACTGTCGGTGAGCAATCGGCAATATAACAAGTATATTTATATACATAAGAAATGGGCACGTACGCACCTGTTCACACCGATTCCTAAGTCGTCTTCTGTTTATTTATCCCAGTAGTTTACGAGATGACCCACAATGCCTCTACAACAAGGCTTTAGTGAAAGATAAGAAGCACCAACACAAAAGAAAATAAATTACTATCTAATTTCTCTGTTTACCAGCAGAAATGAGAACATGCACAAGAATGCAGTATGCAGCATTCCTCCTAGTATAACCACCAGTGGTCGTTATACCATAACAGCATCTGCCAATCAAATGATTAGTTTTTCAATTATAACATCAGTGACGTCAGTCTATTGTTTAAACGTTCCGTTATTTTAAGGAATGGAAAGTCATTCGGACATTTACCTCTACTTACAGTATTTTTTAAAAAAAGAAGGTAATCTCCCGCTGCCATTTTTCCTTCACAAATACCAAACAAATTCTTGATCTTCTGAGAAACCTATCTAGGTTACTTGCTGGAGCCTTGCCCCTCACTTGCCTTAGAATTGATCCGACTCAGTTCGCACATGACCTGTGCAGGTATATCATAAAGACTTTACTCTTACAGTATGTAATGTACATGCAGGGCTCGAATTCCATCTCGTGTTGCCGAGCTTATATCACGGACATGAGACGAGTGTTCGTATCAACACTGGAATGTATCATTGATCTCATTCAGGACATCAATATGTCCTTAATGAAAGATTTACTATAGGTAAGAGATCGTTTTTTGCGACGAGAGAGATCGTTCTGTTGACGCGGGTTGGCGTTCTTTAGTTGTTTGTGAAGGCGAGAAGTTTTATTGTTTAACTTTGATATCAAAACCATAAGTGTATATTGACAGCATACATACGTATAATTTACTGCATATATCAAACGATTTATCGTTCTTCCGAAGAACAGCTTTTTGTCATTCATAAAAAAATATTTCAATCTCAACTTTTGACATCTTTTTAAACAAGTAACCTATTTTTTTTTAATCCTAGTGACAAATACAACTCTGAGATAAACAGTTAACTTTCCATTGGGGTTCGTGAAGATCCGGGGAGAATTGGTCTTCAACAACCCATGCTTGCCGTAAAAAGCGACTATGCTTGTAAGAGGCGACTAACGGGATTGGGTGGTCAAGCTCGCTGACTTGGTTGATGCATGTCATCGATCCCAATTTCGTGGCTCGATGCTCATGATATTAATCACTGGATTGTCTGGTCAAGACTCGATTATTTACTGACCACGTCATATAGCTGGAATATTGCTGAGTGCGTCGCTAAACAACAAACAAACAAACAAACATTCCATTGAGCCATCGGAATTCATGGTTTGCCGGGATCAACTACATGACGACTTCACTTTCTCACTGAAACACGCACATTACCAACCTACATCAAAGGCCAAGTTCCATATTTTGTAGAGCAAGCTGTATGATAAAGGTATATGGTACGGACCCCTTTCAAAAAACTGATAACCAGCACTTGTCTTTTCAGATCATATATTCTTTGGATTACAAACGTCAACTTGATTCCTTGCTCAGTGCATGAAAAGACCGCTAACGTGGCGCCCTGAGAGCGGAAGGTCCGGGGTTCGATCCCTGGCCGCATCATACCAAAAGACGTTAAAATATGGTCCTTGTTGTTACCCTGCCTGGCGCTCGTTATTAAGGGGATAATAAAAAAAACTGGTCGGCTCGGAGTATACTGTAAGTGGGAATTCATGTTAAACTGCGGCATGGCATCTCAGTTGGCTGGTACAATAGAATCGGCATTAGTCGGACAAGTACAAGCAGACACGCACGCAGGCATGCACACACACACGTTGCTAAATAAGTGCAAAAGTCGTGGAAGCAACGTTAAACCCCAGTTCACCTCATCTCCGAGGTTGAGGGATGAAGATGAGATGTTCACCAAAGTCATGCACAGTAAATGTAGTTCCCGACATCGCTGAAGAAAACCTGTTGGGGTCGAATATAATTGCATGTTTTACAGTACATCTAATATAGTGTGAGTGAGTGAGTTTGATTTTACGCCGCTTTTAGCATTATTCCAGCAATATCACGGCGGGGGGCACCAGAAATGGGCTTCACACATTGTACCCATGTCGGGAATCGAACCCGGGTCTTCGGCGTGACGAGCGAACGCTTTAACCACTAGGCTACCCGACCGCCCTACATCTAGTATAGAACATTGACCTACTTGCCTATCTGTCTGAAGCTCTTTTCCATGATACTATTGCTTATTTATTCATTCAATGGGACACCTCAGTTCGGACCCAACAACAGTAATATGTATAATTATGAATCCGCGTACCAAACTATTTTCGGCAACAATTATGTTTCGATTTCTTACATAAATTTCAACGACAATGAAGAGGTTGATCCCTCGAATCTGACGTTGAAGCGAAAAGGGCAAAGGTGTATATGTGATCTGCTATGAGAATATTTATACAGACCATGGCTGTCACCTCTGTTTATCTGTAATCTACACTTATCCGAGTTAAGCCGAGCCGAGTGAGTGAGGTGAGATTTGTGTCTATAGTTGTTTTCATCACTTCCCAGTGGAGTGTAACCAATGGAAACGTAACGACTCTTAAAACGTTTGACAATTTCTGTTTTGTTTTATTGACATTTAAAGGTCAAATGGATTGTGCAAACGCTGTCCAACTTTCAGCGCCATTTCTATAACATATATATAGACAGCGGACAATAGTTTAAATATGAAACATTAAAATAATAGTAACATTGATAAATGATAAACATACATAGAATTTTTCTATTTTTTTACCGAAAATAGAATACATCTGCGTCGCAGGAAAAACATAATGTTCCCACTTCTTGCAGACGTTGTGTATTAAAATATCGAGAAGTATAAAATACAAAAGAAATTGCTCTCCTAAACATTAGAAATATCGCTAATCTCAAGCCAAAATCCCTTGGGACTGCAATGGGCAAGACAACATTTAACATGTGGTGTTCACAGGTGTGTGGTTTTCTCTGATGAGAGATTTGATGACGTGGCGGCTGTTCAGCATGCTCATACGGTTATAGGGTGGCATAAGCGTGAACAAGACCGCCTTCACTGTTGTGGACGACACAACGACTGGTCTGGAGTACACACAATATCATTATAGAAGTTGTACACGTACCTTACGACAGGAAATCCGGGGGCACGGGTGGCCCAGTCGTCTAAGGCGCCGCGATTCGCTGTGCAGAGTTGCGTCCCTTGGGCACGCCAGAAACCTATGGTTGTGGGTTCGAATCCCCGTTCGCCCCGATTATGTTTCTAGGTTTGTCAGCACCACACCCGTGCTCGTGGGTTTCACTGAAGTGGTAAACGTCTGAGACCTGCATCACTTAGGGCTTTCCTCCCACATTAAGCTGACACGCCGCGATATAATTGGCATACTGTTAAAAGCGGCGTTAAACCCAACTCACTCACTCACTCCCGGAAATCCAAGGTTGTCCAGTGTTTTTTGATAGCAGTGCAAACCACACACCCACACCCACAACCACAGTCACACACGCTCACTCGAACACACATACACTCACACATACTCCTTCACTCGTAGATATTGCCTCGTACGTGCAAGGAGACCCGTGAAGATTCCGGGTTAGAATAGGTCTTCAGCAACCCATGCTTGCCGTAAAAGGCGACTATGCTTGTCGTAAAAGGCGACTAACGGGATCGGGAGCTCAGGCTCGCTGACTTGGTTGATACATGTCATCGATCCCAATTGCTTGGATCGATGCTCATGATGTCAATCACTGGGTGGTCTGGTCTAGACTCGATTATTAACAGACCGCCATCATATAGCTGGAATATTGCTGAGTGTGGCGTTAAACAACCAACCAACCAACGTGCAAGATGCCAACTCCCACCCCACCCCTCTCGTTGAAGCATAGTGCTTGTGTGAAATACTGGAGATTGTTTAAACAACAAACCAAACCAAACCAACCAAAACAGGTTCGGGTTACGTTTAAGATTAACTCCCACAGTCTGTTTTTTCATTAATATCACGAAACACTTGAAACAATTAAGACAATTTCAAAATATATAATTCGTAAAACGCATCAGCTCCTTTTCAGTTAGATGTACGAGGTTTGACGGAGAAGTCCGTATCCCTGAGCAGTGCCCATTTTCCTTGGGTCACAGTTCCTTAACTTTTTTACTGTCTTGTCAGAGCTAAACAATTTCCTCCACCGACTCGTGTATTTGTGGATATACCTCTATGGCATCATGAAATGTCACACACCAAATCTTTCATTATTACGCAATTCCTTTAGTGTGCGGCTTGGAACTTATCAATCAACCCTTGTATGTTTCAAAAAGAGTGATTGAGTATGGTTTTACGCCGCTCTCAATATATTCCAGCAATATCACCAGAAATGGGCTTGACACGTTGTACCATTGTGGGAAATCAAACCCAGGTCTTCAGCGTGACGAGCGAACGCTTTAACCACTAGGCTACCCGAAAACCCCTTGTTTCATTAAGAACTATTGGTTGTAATTTATACCTGATTCAGAAAATCAACGTTCGAGTTTTATTCTAACTCCCTTTATGCATTAACAATTTGAAGTTAAAAAGGAAAATGCGTAGCAAAATGGAACACTGCAGGACTAGATTGATATGTAGGCAACGTTTCGTGAAGACAAACTGAAAACTTCAGCAGTGCACACTAATGGCCCAGCAGACGGACATGAATGTCAATCTGGTAATAACACCCGGGGAATAAAACATGATGGTTCACATGCTTCCTGTTTTATTCATTCTGTTATCTATTTTTTATCTATTGACAACAATACTCCAAAGCAATATATCAAGAATAACAAACTTATCTCGACACTAACATAAAAAAGGAAGGTAAATAAATGTATCCCTCCTGTTTGCCTACGTTTGTGATAGGACATTTCAGCGGTACAAGGTCTAATCACATGCCCACTATAATATAAGCCTATTGCGTAAAAGATTTTACTCCACTGACGGGTATTTTATATAGTAGGTAGCTACAACACAACATAACAACACAACGATGGCAAAATAGTTCAGAGCCTCCCGTCTTCAAAGAAGGGGTCATCCCAGGTCCTCGCCCCGCCCGTGTCTTCACCCTGCCGTGTGTCGCCTAAACATGAGGGTACCAACCCCTACCTCCCCGAATCCCGAATCCCGAATCCCGAATCTATTTTTTCACTCCGTCTCATTGCGTATCCCTAAACCTCGAATACCACTTGACACGAATCTCAATCTTAAAAGCATTGCAAAGAGATGCGTTTTGAAGTTAAATCCCTGAGAAAATAGCGAAAAAAATAAACGATTTTGAAGGTAACTTTAACGTACACCATGTTTTGTTTTAAATGTGGAATCTGTACCAAATATGATTATGTTTGCGTCCCGAATATCCGCTCAATCGACCCCCGAATACAGCTCACCAAAAGGGGGTTGGCACCCTCAAACATGGCTTTCTTTGAACTGATATATGATATAGGTAGTTCAGCTAAGAGTAGACTCACTGCATGGGGCGGACTTCCTGATCAACACTGCAATGCCTTAATCGCTGAGTACACGTACTAAAGAAACAACAATTCAAACAACAATTTGTCCTTAACAACAAAAAGTTCCCTTACGTTTGAGACAGTGAAATGCTTGGAATTTAACCGTCAAACCCACTCGCAGCGACGGCAAGAACCTGTGCAGTGGTGAACCTGTTTAGTTGCTGGGAGGCAGTGAGATTGACAACATGTGCTGTAGGTTCCGTGTCGACATTGCAAGAACATAGCTCAGATGTTTGTTGTGTTTTAGATCAAGTTTCTTAAAGTGTCTTTATAGGTACCTAGCTGCTGCGAATTGGGGATACTTTTTGTTAACTCAAAAAGTAAATTACTTTATGAAGAAAGCTGCCAATTTTCACACGTAAGTATTAATACGTGCATCTATGCTGTTAGTCACGTATCATACATCGAATAAGTGTATGAGAGGAGGACGGATTATGCAAGTTTTATTTCAAACTTTGATTCGATGTGAATACGTAATTGTTCCCGTATGTGGCCTTGACAACGTCAAACGTCAAACGAATGCGAATATGTTTTGAAAATGTCAACGTCAAACGAATGCGAATATGTTTGGACAATGTCAACGTCAAACGTCAAACGAATGCGAATATGTTTTGAAAATGTCAACGTCAAATGAATGCGAAGATGGTTTGAAATATCAACGTCAAACGACGGCGAAGATGTTTTTGACAATCCCTAAAAAAGGATGTGATATATTTATTCTAAAACTGTGTGAATGTGTTTAGATTGAGGGTATACATCCTTGGATGAGCTCAGAATGGGTAGTGGCACCAGCAGCAGCAAGGTACTAACGGATGATCCAGATATAGACCCAGTAAGTAGCCGTTGCATTATGACCCACTCACTCACTTGTATATATGTGGTACAGTTATTAAGAAATGAACGACGAGCGGGAGTTGTCTATCGTACAGTAAAACACTGCAGGGAGAATAAACAATGAGAGTGCAGCCCCGAGTGGTTTATTATCTCTGCAGTGTTTTATTGTACGACAAACAACGACCACGAGTCGTTTATTTCTTATGTGAGATATCAACATTACGTGTAGCCTCTTTAAGGATGATGCTAAAACGAACAAGCTTTCAAAATATTTATCTGTATTTTAATTATGATGACTCCCTCAATAGAATCCGACCTCGGCAATGTCGGACAACTCCACTTTATGCAAAGGTGGGTATTTCCCACATATTCTCACGTCGATTACTTGAGTGTACTTTTTCTCCCAATACCGAATGTCATATTTCTCCCGCGTTTAGATGCGATCGTCCGGCCAAAGTGTTTATCTACGTTGCCTAGCTACATCTATGGGGAACAACTCACTAGACACTCTCCTCTTAAAAATAACGTCCAAAAAATATACAACGTCAAGTTGCGAGCGCATGTTCGAATCTCCAGAAATGACTTCATTATAGAACAATGTTGTATCGTGAATCAAACCACACTTCGTTCTTCATTGTTTTTTGCGATTTATCGCGTAGCTGTCTTATATAACTACATCTTGTACCTGAGATGATATCTTGAATCAGTTGACAAGAAGCTTAATGAATACGTTAGTCTTAAAGAGAATGTAACGCCTTAAGGTGTGAAAGCGATATGAATATCAAGTTACTCCACGACGCTCAACGCTCAAACACTATAAATTGATATATGCCGAAGATGCTTCGCTAAAAGATCAAAGGCGTCGACTGTACTTTATCCTGCGATAAAGTACATTTTTTTAGTTACGTCATAATAGACTGACATCATGGCGCTGTTGAAATTACCAAGCTCCGACTTCCATACAGTTTGGCCCTCACTCTGTGAAGGTTCATACTCCAATGAACTCACACAAAATGAAAGTCAGTTTCTTTAAAATAAGATAGCTGCGCGATACACTGCAAAGAACAATGAAGAGAGCGTGGTCTATTTCACGATGAAACATAATTTCTAGAGATTCGAACCCGCGCTCGCAACATGATAACTTCGTGTATTGGACGACGGTACTTTTGAGAAGGAAGCGTCTAGTGAGTTGAGACTTAGCTGAGCAACGCAGATAAACGCAGTGGCCGAACGATCGCATCCAAAAGTGGGAGAAATATGACAATAGGTATTGGAAATAAGGTACAGACAAATCGATGCGAAGATTGGGAGAATATGCTAGAAATACCAAAGTTACCCCACTTGACTTGTCCGACATTGCCGATGTCGGTATGTCTTCAGGGAGTCATCATTATTTAAATACGTGTAAATATTTTTAAAGCTTGTAATTTTTATCATCCTCCTACGCCCCTCATTGTTTATTCTCCCTGCAGTGTTTTATTGTACGATAAACAACTCCCACTCTTCGTTTATTTCTTAAATAAAACACTGCAGGGAGAATAAACCATGAGGGGCGCATAGGGGGAGAGCAAACTTAATTTTAAAAATATATAAAAACGTGTCTTTATTAGCTAGCTACCTTTGTTTGCTGAAGCAGCAGTTTACTGAGGCAGAATCACGCTGACAAGGCAACCAACCTGCGTCAACATTCATCTTGGTCTCAGGATTATATATTTATGAGCTGTTTGTATTTTCTTGTCAAATAACATGGATTTTTTTATCTCAGTGTCCTGACAAAATTGATTTTTTCATTTATGTAAATGACAACCTTTATCTTCGAGAGAAAGGACATATGGCTTTTATGTTGTGTACATTAGTAGTAGTCGTAGTAGAAGTAGTCGTAGTAGAAGTAGTCGTAGTCGTAGTAGTAGTAGTAGTAGTAGTAGTAGTAGTAGTAGTTGTAGTTTTAGGATGGTAAATATCCTGTATTAGACATATACACTCTTCAAAAATAGAAACGCACAGGCTGTATGTAGTTAATTGAACCTGACTACACAAATCCGGTATATAAATTGAATACTTGTTATATAATTGGAAAATGTTGGTGGCCATAGTCGACAAACGGTGCGTCAAAACGCAGCCATTGTCGATTTGCAATGTTCTAAACGGCATTGTTTTCACACTTGTTAAAAATGGAGGAAAACAGTAAAGCAAAATGCACGTGCAAGTTATGGCATTCGTAACTCGTGGTAGTGGCCATAAAAAGGCAAGCATAAGCCAATAATTTGTCATTCAATTGTCAACATTTTTCAAGTTCGAAAATGCCGAGACTCAGCGCTGGCGATCGGAACAGCGCCACAGGACGTATCCAAAGAGGGGAATCGCAGTCTTCTGTTGCACGCCGGTTCAACGTCCACCACAGCACCATTTGCCGCCTTTGTGACCGATACACACAGTTCAATTCCACTGCAGACCGTCCGAGAACCGGCCGACCAAGAGTTACCACCCCTGCATAGGATCGCTACATTCGACTGTTCCACCTACGTCATCGCAATGCCACAGCTACGGAATGCCCTGGTTGAGGAGGATATTGGACCAAACTGTCAGGAACCATCTTCGCGATGCTGGAATCCGACCCAGAAGACCAGTTATCGTCCCTGTTTTGCAACAGATCCATCGACAACGATGCTTGCCTTCGTGCCAAACCTTACAGCCTTGGAATTTGAGAAACTGGAGACGAGTGTGGTTTAGCGATGAATCATGATTTCTTCTTAACCGGCGAGATGGAAGACACGTGTTTACCGTCGTCGAAACGAGCGTTTTGCCCCACATTGTGTACGTGAATTCGACAAATTCGGTAGCGGTAGTGTCATGGTGTGGGGGGCCATATCCTACATCACGAGATCTGACTTGGCTGTGGTTCAGGGACATTTGACAGCAAATCGCTACATAAATCATATTCTTCAACCTCACCTTCTTCCAATCGTTGACCTCCAGAGGGAAATGTTTCAACAGGACAACGCCCAACCGCACACAGCTCGTGTCACGGTAGACTATCTTCATATGCCAACATCAACGCCTTGCCCTGGGTGTCGAGATCTCCAGATCTCAAACCAATCGACCACCTCTAGGATGAACTCGATCGACGTGTACGTCAACGTCAGAACACGCCGCAGACACTCCCACAACTGGCCAACGCGTTACAAGCAGAATGACGCAGAATTCCGCTGGACAGAATTCGTACACTTATCCAGTCAGTGACGAGGAGATGCAGAGCCGTGATTGCTGCCCGGGGCGGTCACACGAGATACGAGTTCAGCGCAACCTTGTTGCCTTATGTGACATGACAATGATCAAGTTTCAATGCCTTTGTGCAACGACAACATGTGACTATCGAGCTCCAAAATTTCATATTTGTATCTATGATATTAAATTAAATATATCGACTTTATTAGGCACATTTCCTAAAAATCTACCTTTGCGTTTCTTCTTTTTGAAGAGTGTACATTTTATTTAGAGAGCCTCAGTGAGCTAATTGCATAGAGTCTATTAGTAATCCAGGATATTTACCATCCTAAAATACTTAAGCGTGATAGTCTCTTTGTTAAATAAAGTCATTCTTCAACTCTAAACAGTGCATTTGTTCCTGGAATGTAATTGCCCTTTATCAAATTGAGGGTACTCTAGTCTATGAAATGTCAAACTACTACTACTACCAACGATGTTTTTTGATCAATTATGAACAAAGACGCCATGTCTATTTGTCCTGATAATAAGAGCAATGTGCGCGTATGGATATATGCAAAAAGGAAACATACAGCCGCATCACTTCCCGCATGCATACCAGAACACTCAGCGAACTATTTATGGAGATCGCTGAATTATTTGGGAAAATCAAAACTAATAGCAAACTTCGTCATTACATTATCTCCTTTAATTCTCATTTTGTGATATATACTTATCTTACTATCAACGAAACAGTACGTTTTACGTTGAAATTACTTTAAAAACTTGTTGGGCAGTCACAACTACACACAGCTCGGCATTCTCCTTTCTGTCGTACTGGGGAGTCAGGCTCACGTCAGGAGTGTGTGCATGGAGCGCCCTTGTTTGAATCATGGGCTGACAAACATGTGAGCATTGAATAAAGACAGGTCTACCAGGCATCTTGACAGTGTAGAAGCATACACCAAGAGCCTTTGATGCCTTGAAATTGCTGTCAACAATTGTCAATATCAGTCTTGTTCATGGGCATGTTGACATTTGTATATACGTTGCCATTGGTGATAATTTAAACCAGGAAGTGTTAGTAAAGGAGGCCCTGCCATCTCGGTAACTCTCAACAAGCTTATCGTACGGCTTGGCGACGAAGTATCAGCACGATTGACGTTCGTGTTCTGTATTAACGGTCCTGTCTCTTATTTTACAGCCAGGGATGACAGGTTCGGGAAAGGTCATGTAGGAGATAACATACTGTGTTTTCAATGTAGAGCTGTAACTAAAGATTTAACCGCGCTAAATTGAATTTGGAATCGCTCTCGTAGCCTTGATATACCCACCTGAACTAAAGTGAGTGAGTTGGATTTAACGCCGCTTTTAACAGTATTCCAGTTACGTCACGGTGTCATTTGATGTTGGACGACAGCCCGAAGTGATACTGGTCTCAGACATTTACCGTTTGGTGAAACCCAAGAGAACGGGTATGGTGCTGACAAACCAAGAAACAAAAATTGGGCGAACCGGGATTCGAACCCAAGATCATAGGTCTCTGGCGTGCCCAAGGGACCCACTTCTGCACAACAAATGGCTGCGCTTTGGACGTCTGGGCCATCCTTGCCCCGACCTGAAATAGAAATATAGGAGACCAGTGAAGCCGCATCGTCTGTTTCATATTTGCATGTATGCATATTCACATTGATTCAATGATTCATAAACACATGCTTATGCTATAGTCGGAATCATACAATGGATTCTGCTTGTAGCAGAGGCTTCTTCTTATTATGGAAAGGGTTTTGTCGCTTTTATTAACACATAGTCTCGCAGTGTTCCACCACTAAGTTCGCTTTGTGGAACGGTACCCAGGGTTGCTTCCCGGGTATGACTTTGGGCAACACTGGGCAAGACTTCACTGAAATGTACAGTTTGTCTTACCCGTGTGAGCTGCTACATTACTACACTTCAGATATTAGTATGAAGACGAGACCAGGTGAGCTACAGAACCCGTGACGCTTCCTATTTACAGATCACCGTCCCTGATACAGTGAAAGGGTATAGACCACCTTCACCCCCCAAGTGGAAAAAGAGAGACGTGTTCGATGTGAAAAAGAGTAAAGAACTTGACAGCCGAGCAAGACAGGTTGGACATAGAGTTCACCGTCGAAGATTTCTTTCATTCTTGAACTTATTATAATGTAGTGCCTAAAATCTAAATTTGAGTCTTTCGGAAAATTATGCGCACTTTATTTTATAGGAATCGCTGAATCTCTCTCTCTCTCTCTCTCTCTCTTTCGCTCTCTCTCTCTCTCTCTCTCTCTCTCTCTCTCTCTCTCTCTCTCTCTCTCTCTCTCTCCTTTTGTTCTTAATCGTTTTCAAAAGTTCAAGGCCGTAATGCAGAGTTATAACACCAGATATGCTCATTTCTGTAATATTTTATATACATCTCATTACTCACTCATAAATATCAGTGCGTTGCATACTTTATGCATAGCCGTATAACATCATTATAATCTGTATTGTATTTGATATTTCACAATAGTTATACAGTGTCCGAGCTTTGAACTATATGACATGAAATGACGTTTCTATTGTTGGTTTTCAAATCAGTTTCATGAATGACAAGGTCTCAAGGGAAGAGCTATCTACCGCCATGTCATATACATGTTCCATCATGTTCGCCAGTCAGAATCTCGGTGAAAGCGCCGCATTTTGAAAACAAGCTTTCCAGGAAAAAATCTGTTTTCATGATTATATTAATGGATGATGTAAACTGACTTGCAGGTGACAGTTACGGACGACACAACATTTGAAGCACTGGCTTCTGATCTGACTCGTGATCTCAGCACTGACCTGGAGAGAGTCCGGGCCTTGTTTATCTGGCTGGGTCACCAGGACATCGAGAAGCAGTTCTACCCAGGGGTCACCGACGGTCGGACACCCCGGGGATACATGAAGCTGATGAAGCTACACAAAGGGTCCTACTCCTCCTTCTTTGCCCTTTTGTGTCGGTACGTATTTTAGAGAATAGTCGTTTGACTAAAAGGACGAGGAGCAGAACATATAGTTCCACGACACAATTATAACATTGGATACATTAAAAAAAATATATAAATAGAAAGCCACCAACATCATCATAATGGTTGCCTGTTCATCATCGTCATCAAAGATCTACCTAATATGTAGCTACTGTGAGGCATGTAAGAAGACTTTCCGTTTATTTCCATGGCGTTACCCAGTCACAATACCTTGACGTCAACGATTGATATGCCAGTTGTTATAATGTGCATCGATTTTGAGTCAGAAAGTTTATTTGGTCACATATGCACCCATTTAAAGACCACTGTGCTGGTATACAGCAAGTCTCTCTGTACCGAGATAGTTCGTTGTCCTGGTAACATCATATTTTACAAACTGCATCTTTCTTCCTGAATGTTAAAATCTTCTTTATAGTCGAGTAAGCTACGGATTCCAAAACGTGTTTTAGATATAATCATCACTGCCTCCTGTTACTCCTTAATATCACTGACATTATGATTGCTATTGTTAATGAAGTGAGAGGAATTCTATGAGACACAGGATGGTCCATTTCCAAGCACAATTAGGATAGATGAACTGTTTATATACTGAACCGCAAAAGAAACGTCACCCAAAGTAACATTGCATGAAAAGTTGTCATTTAAATATCTGTGTAATTTTTGTCAAAGTTTCTAAAATTTAACATTTCCTTGTCCGGGAAAATGAAATTTGATGATAAAAAACCAAAGCAGATGACAATAAAACCGATCGCCTAAACGCATCACGGCAACGGCCATGGTAAACCGATGCACGTGAGTTTCTTGCAAATTGAAATGCACATGCGTTCCCCTATTTCTTGCCCTATAAATCCACCACAATCGGATATCATTCATTCGTTATTGAATTGTTACCACATGCCAGGATTGACAAGAAATCAGCGACACCAAGCCCTTGGACGATTGCAAGCTGGACAAACCGCCATGCAAGTAGCCAATGCATTTCAAGTCCACGTAAGGACCATAGCAAAAAGGCTCCAGCAACGGTACCAGACCACCAACACTACAGATGACCGACCACGTAGTGGATGACCAAGGGTCACGACCCGACGTCAGGATCGTCAGATTGTGCGACAGCATCTTCAAGATCGCTTCGTTACTGCTGCGGAAACTGCTCGACAGACCATGGGGACACACCAGCGACACATTAGTGCAGCTCACAGCAGCTCGGTACATTGATCAAGTCTTGAGACCACACGCCATACCTCATTTGGCACGTCGCCGCAACCACGAGTTTCACCATGATAACGCCCGTGCCCACACTGCGAGAGTAACAAGAGACTTCATCCAGCAGAATGGCATCAGAACCATGCACTGGCCTGCCCTCATTCCCGATTTAAATCCCATTGAGCACCTGTGGGACGAGATTCAAAGACGGTTGAATAACGTCCGACCAAGGCCGACAACTGGAGCTGAACTGCTTCAGGCGTTCCTCAGAGTGTGGGCTCAAGTGCCTATGGCCTTCATCAATCGCCTCAACTATTCCACGTATCGACGTTGCACGGCAGTCATCAATGCACATGGCGGACACACGAGATACTGACTTGTGATGCCATTTTCTCAGAGACTAGTGTTGTGTTTCTCTTTAAGAACATTTGACACTTTAATTTCAACCTTCATGATCAGTTTTGCCAAGTTTCATCTTTTTAATATGTCTCAAAGTATCATGTTTACAGTGTTTGGACAAATAAAGTTTCTCATATATCTATCCATGGTGACGTTTCTTTTGCGGTTCAGTATATATTGCTGGAGTTATGAACCCATCCATCCGTTGTTGCCGTATATCAGAATCGGAGTAGTTGTTGGATAGTGAAGGGCTTCTGTCAATTTTCAAGCATAAGTTTGTTCATCTGTATTTGCTTCACATGAAAGTGATGTCATGCCGTTACAAGATATATTTTATTTGAACAAGGCTGAAATTTTAAGGATATATTTCGAATTATTCTTCAATTCGAATAATAAAAAAATGTGAATTTTAGACTCCAAATTCATTTCCATACAGACAAAACTTCTACTTGAATATCAAACCTCTAGTCAGAGGGTCATCTTTGCACAGGTAGAGTATGTAGATCTGACACAGGAGGTCATGATCATCAGTTACCCGTGAAGATCCGGGATAGAAAAGGTCTTCAGCAACCCATGCTTGCCGTAAAAGGCGACTATGCTTGTCGTAAGAGGCGACTAATGGGATCGGGTAGTCAGGCTCGCTGACTTGGTTGATGCATGTCATCGTATCCCAATTGCGTTGGTCGATGCACATGATATCAATCACTGGGTCGCCTGCTCCAAAATCAATTTTTTACAGACCGCCGTCATTTAGCTGGAATAATACTGCGTGCGGCGTTAAACAACAAGCAAGCAAACAGTATTAATATCGTCAGTATTAATATGTCAGCTAAGATTTTCGTCAATGTGAATTTCCTCAGAGCTGCAAACCTACAGTGTGTGATAGTCAGAGGTCACGTCAAAAGCCTGGGATATGAGGTCGGAGATCAGGACGTCACAAGATTGATCGGAAACTGGAACATCGTCCACGTTGATGGGTCGTGGCAGATTGTCCATCCATTGTGGGCCTTCACCGGAGTCATCGGCCATGACAGTGGAAGATGGGTCAAAATAGAGGCAGATGGCAAAGGGACGAGGGAAAAAGGTCAAGCCAGACAAGGAATCAGCATCAAAGACCTGGATGAAGATTTCTTCCTCCCACACCCAGAGGAGTTTATCTATACCTGCATGGCCGAGAAAAGAGAATGGCAGCTTGTCAGTGACACATGGGACCTTCATACATTTTGCAACGTACCTCGTTTTGAGTTCAGATACTTCACGTCAGGTTACAAACTTATACGGGAACACAAATCTATTCTTCTCTCTGAAAATGGAAAATGTGAGCTGGAATTCGAAGAAAAGAGAGACACCAAAACACATCTTGCATACGACCTGTATTTTGATGAAGCACTGTCCAAAGATAAATTGCCAGAAGGAATTGAACTGCCACGGTGTGTTTTCCTTGAAACCAACGGGAAACACCTGAGACTAATTGTTCGATTCCATGTGGCAGGGATATATAAACTGTCTATCAAATACAACATCCTGGGGATTATATCTGTACCCATGGCTGCCTTCAAGCTGGAGGTGAGTGAAAGGTCGGAAAACAAAAACATGTTTCCAGTGAATCCTCCTATTGGATTTGGTTTTGGTCAGACAGCCAAGGTTAAAGGTTTGGCGGCCCCTTCCCACAAATCAGGGGTGGTTGTGATGGAGAAACGCACGATGCAGACCTTTAACTTCCGGATGACCACGAGGATGCAGGTTGTCGCCCGACTGCGCCACAACAAAATGCAATCGGAGGAACTGGACCAATATGTGGAACAGGAGGTCAAGGACGAAAACGTTAAGGTCAAGGTCACTATGCCAGATGATGGCGACATTGAAGAGTATGCTCTCCAGATTTACACAGGAGAAGAGAGCAAAGACAACAACGTCGTCAACTATTTGCTGACAAGTAGAAAAGAGGATTTCGAGAAGATACAGGAGGTAGGTGTTTCTATAAACTTTCTTCTAATATATTTCAAGGACACGAGCCCCAAGCCTTATGGAGGTTTCACAAGTAATCTATCCTGTAGAACCAACAAAACAAATCCATTTGATATTTGTGATATATTTATAATATTCATGCGGTTAAGACATAGTCCCAGTGCATTCCTCTTATTCAAATGCAGTTCCTCTCACAAGTATTACGACAACTGTTTTATTTGTGTTCCAAGGACAAAGTCAGGAAGAACCTACAGATAGCCCTTGGGGGCCACAGGATCAGCAGACTGGAGAAAGCCATCAAAGACTTTGAAGTAGCAAAACTCAAAGATACAAATGGCTATCTGCGGAAAGCAAAGCTGAAGATGGAAAAACTTAGGAAAGAACGTGAGATGATCGTTGCCTAAGTTAATGCATCTAAACGTCATCCATGTATACATGAGTTAAACAAGAATTGATATTTGCTTCATTGGTATTGCACAGTTCTGAGTTTACATATAACTCCGGGTTAGAAATGGCCTTCAGCAAAAACCATGCTAGTCGTAAGAGGCGACTAACGGGATCGTTTGGTTAGGCTCGCTGATTTGATTGATGCATGTCATGGTATCTAAATTGCTTAGATCAATACAGTACTCATGGTGTCAATCACTGTATGGCCCAGACTCGATTATGTATATTGGTGACACGGAATATTGACCTTTCTTCCAGAGAGAAAGGAAGAGGAGATAAACTCACTGAAACGGAATTTAAAGAAAGCACTGAAACATCGCAGCCTGACGGATTTGGAGAAGGCGATTGCTGACGCGGAACGTTCAGGTCACCCAGACCTGGAAGAACTGTTGTTGACAGCCAAGGCCATGGCCGTGGACTTGGAACAGGAGGGTTAGTGAATGTTGGTGACTACTGGGTTAGAGTAGAGGGTGGTGGGGTGAGTGGGGTATATGAAGGGTCTGGGATTACCGCTCAAACACAAGACAGGTAAACGGGAACTTCACTTCGAGGGAACACTTACTGAAATACACTCTCAACCATGGATGTGTACATTATCAATGGTCACTCATTGGCATGTCAGTGAGTGTGTGCAGCCCATTTCTGGTGTCCCCCGCCGTGATATTGCTGGAATATTGGTCAAAGCGGCGTACAACCATACTCACTCACTCACTGTCATGTCCACAGAAATCGATGGGCAGAAGGCATCTGACATCCGAGACCAGTTAATCAGTGCCACAAAGGCCAGGAAGAAGAAAGGTCTAGAAGCTGCAATAGCGTCTTTCCAGGAGGCCAACCTACCGGACAGGGGCGATTTGACAGAAGCCAGAACAGTCCTGCAACAACTCTACGAGGAAGGTACACAGCGTTGTTATGACAACAGAAATGATACCTGAAAAACAGCATTAGAGAACTTCCGAAGTGACCAAAGTAATGCTCAATTCAGATGTAATGCAATTCCCATAGCAGGGTTCTGTATGGCCGAAAATGTTACATTCCGCCTTTGTTATTACCCACCAAATATCTCGTTCGTATATGTTACAAGCTATCTATAAGTTTGGTTGTGAAATTTAATATACGTGGAATTATTGCCGTTATATTAATCATTTATCCCAATTCCAATCACTGCAGCTGTTGAGAAGGAAATGTCCAAGCAGAACCTCAAACGTCTGGAGGCAGCCCTGAATGGTATTGAAGACAGCGTTGTTGAGCAGGAGCTCAGGAACTCGCAGGTGATTCAGAAGGCTCAGAGATTCCTGCAGCAACAGAAGAGGCTCAAAGGGTTCCTTAGTCCAATCCTGTTAATGAAGAATGGGACTGTTGCAGAGATCCATGGCTACAGAGACACCAACCCACTGATCGTCGACGTTATGAAAGCCACGTTCATTACATTGGGAGAAAGTCAGAATGAACTGGAGGTATCTCAGCTATATATATATGTTTTCGATTCCTCCAAGATTCCTGGATATTCTGGTTAATATACATTTTACCAATTTACCATCTATTTTATGGGATGTCAAAATAATCAGTGGCCGCGATGCCATGAAACCCGACAAACATGTGCCGTTCAGTTCAGTAATATGAATCACCTGTTGATGTATATTTAGTCTTCAGAACATTGAAGGTTTAAATATTTCTTTGGGGATCCTCCAATACGTGCATTACTGCTATTGCTGCCTGTGAAAAAAATCAGAGATGTATTCTGACTCTATTCATATAATATGTATCGGTTGCATGAGTTCACTGTCTGCTATAATATTACACTTATTTGTTTAAGAGTTGGAGCGCGATTCAAAAACATCTAACGCCAAGTTTAAAAATACTTCAACGGATTAAAGCCTTCAACCTGGAGTCACTGCATTTCCGGACCGCGGACAGAGCCCGGAAGCTGCTTGATAAGTACACCACTGATGACGTCAGGGAGGTCAGCGCAGGGCTGGCCACTTTCTACAAATGGGTGGGTAGTCTTATACATAAGAAATATGGTGATACATTTTCATAATCTATAAGTTCACGAACCGTTCACCTAAGCTGTATGTTTGCTCTGTATGGTTTCACCAGAGCTCATTCTGTTTATGATTAGTAGTTAAAGCTATCCAATTCTTTGACCTTTCTAAAGGTGCATACTTCTTCGAGAACATTTTATTCAGATACAAAACCTGGCCAATACCACAAGAAGACAATGTAACCAATGATGCAAAACACACCATTTACAACACCACGATATCCATGATAATAAACCAAGGATGTAATACACACCATTTACAACACCGCTATATCCATGAGAATAAACCAAGGATGTAATACACACCGTTTACAACACCGCTATATCCATGATAATAAACCAAGGATGTAATACACACCGTTTACACAACCACTATATTCATGATAATAAACCAAGGATGTAATACACACCGTTTACAACACCACTATATCCATGATAATAAACCAAGGATGCAATACACACCGTTTACAACACCACTATATCCATGAGAATAAACCAAGGATGTAATACACACCGTTTACAACACCGCTATATCCATGATAATAAACCAAGGATGTAATACACACCGTTTACACAACCACTATATTCATGATAATAAACCAAGGATGTAATACACACCGTTTACAACACCACTATATCCATGATAATAAACCAAGGATGCAATACACACCGTTTACAACACCACTATATCCATGATAATAAGCAAAGGATGTAATACCATTCAAACAGTTGTAGAACACCAGATCATGTTGCGGCATCTTTTCTTTTCAGTGCAACAGCATACTTCAGGAAGCCCCGGCGAGACACGACCAAGACTAGTGACAGAGATGGAATGACGTCCACACCGGCACAACACTATATTACCACGTTACATCAGCCCTACACCTCATGTCCACGGCGAGACACGACCAAGACTAGTGACAGAGATGGAATGACGTCCACGCCGGCACAACACTATATTATACGATATATCAACCCTACACCTCATGACCACCGTGATACACGACCAAGACTAGTGACAGAGATGGAATGACGTCCACACCGGCACAACACTATATTACCTCGTTATATCAACCCTACACCGCATGGCCACGGCGAGACACAACCAAGACTAGTGACAGAGTTGAAACGACGTCAACACCAGCACAACACTATATTACCACGTTATATCAACCCTACACCTCATGACCACGGTGAGACACAACCAAGACTAGTGACAGAGATGAAACGACGTCAACACCAGCACAACACTATATTACCACGTTATATCAATCCTACACCTCATGGCCACGGTGAGACACGACCAAGACTAGTGACAGAGATCGAAAAACGTCCACACCGGCACAACACTATATTATACGATATATCAACCCTACACATCTTGGTCAGTCCCAGAGCCCCGTCCCACAAAGCATCTTAACACAACGTGACTCTGTTAAAGCTTAAGAGTCATGATAGTCGTAGCACTAAGTTATATGAAATGAGGCCTTGAAGAAGTGGGAACCTGTTAGCGTAGTATATTTCTGTAAATATTCTTTATAATCCGTATACTATCACCGACAAACATGGACAACTGCTCGCCAGGCTGCTCTGTGCAGCAATGGACCTGATAATTCCTCTGCAACAATGGACACCAGTGCTGTTCTGGATTCAAATTAGTGAGGTGACATGCTCTCTTAAAAGAATCATTGTGAAATGAGACTTAAACCCCTTCATGACAGGCTGGCTCTCTGTACAACCGCCCCCGTGGTCTTGTGGATAGGGCGTGTGCTCCTAGAGGGAAAGGTCGGGGGTTCGATCCCCGGCCTCGTCATACCAACAGACGTAACAGATGGTACCTCTTCTTACCCCGCCTGGCGCTATCCATTAAAACGAGGAGTGGTCGGCTCGGAGTCAGTATACTGTGTTACACAAGCAGTCAACAACATATACACACCCCATTAAGAACATTTACACACCCGATCAACACCAGTTACAGACCCAGTCAAGGACATTAACAACCCCCATCAAAAACTTTAATATTAACACACACCACCAAGAACACTTACACGCTCATTCATCACAAGTTACACACTACATCAAGAACACTTACACACACCACCAACACCAGTTACACAACCCATCAAGAACACTTACACACCCCACCAACACCAGTTACACACTACATCAAGAACACTTACACACCCTACCAACACCAGTTACACACTACATCAAGAACAATTACACACACTACCAACACCAGTTACACACTACATCAAGAACACTTACACACCCTGCCAACACCAGTTACACACCCATCAAGAACAATTACACCCCCCACCAACACCAGTTACACACCCATCAAGAACAATTACGCACCCCACCAACACCAGTTACACACTACATCAAGAACAATTACACACACCACCAACACCAGTTACACACCCGTCAAGAACAATTACACACCCCACCAACACCAGTTACACACTACATCAAGAACACTTACACACCCTACCAACACCAGTTACACACTACATCAAGAACACTTACACACCCTACCAACACCAGTTACACAACCGTCAAGAGCAATTACACACTCCAGCAATGACATTTACATACTCTATCAACACCAGTTACACACCCTACCAACACCAGTTACACACCCATCAAGAACAATTACACACCCCACCAACACCAGCTACACACCCGTCAAGAGCAATTACACACTCCAGCAATGAAATTTAAATACTCCATCAACACCAGTTACACACCCATCAAGAACATTTACACACCCCACCAACACCAGTTACACACCCATCAAGAACAATCACACACACTACCAACACCAGTTACACACTACATCAAGAACACTTACACACCCTACCAACACCAGTTACACACCCATCAAGAACAATTACACACCCCACCAACACCAGTTACACACCCATCAAGAACAATTACACACCCTACCAACACCAGTTACACACCCATCAAGAACAATTACACACTCCAGCAATGACATTTACATACTCCATCAACACTAGCTACACACCCATCAAGAACATTTACACACCCCATCAAGAACATGAACCCCATCAAAAACATTTACACACCCAATCAACACCAATTACACACTCAATCAAGAACTTTTATGTACCATGTTATATCGATATCTAACATTCATATTTTAATTGCTTTTATAAAAATGTTACTTCTATTAAAGGAGGACTCTGGACAGTGGACACTGAGCACGCATTGAACTACATACAGATCGTATGGCGGTTCCTGGTATACGGTGATATCATGTCCTACTTACTGCTTGTATAGCCTGTGTAAACTCCAGCTTCACTGTGATACCACTCATATGCTGTGACTGTGATATGTTTCTATCTGAACATTAAATAATGTGAAGGGAAAGAGCCGTTTCTTTGTATTTCCTTATGCCTGATGTCTGTACTATGAATCAAGCACGGACGACTACAACATGAATGAATGATGTTTATTCTCGTAAATCACGACAGTGATACAGAGATGTAATTGGACACAGGAATTAGATACAATAGGAGAAAACATGTCAGTGGAACATTTCCATACATGATCTTATATAACTCGCCAGTTTTAATAGAATTGGCTTATAAGTAATGGACATCAAATGTGAGAATTTTATGGCAGAATGATACATACAGTAGTATTGAGGCAAAAACTTGTTTCTAATTTCTGAGAGTTTTGGACATTCTAATAAAAAGTGCATTTCATCACATATCAAATTTTTACACAATGTACATTTCTTTCCTCTCTTACAATACACACACACGCGCGCTCGCACACGCACACGCACACACACACACGTCGCATCAATGTATCAATACCACTCGCGGCAGGGATCCCCCGCTGCCGTGTGTCCAAAAAAAGACTGACTTTAAAAATATCCACCAATAAGTATTTGATAGTCAATTACACACAAATTCATTCTACAGCTGGCATTCCAGGACAGGACATTTCCCCAGCAGCTGATACCTGCCATAAGGCTGACTCCGGGGTAACGGAAAAGGGGATCGTGTGTTACCTATGCCAATACCTTGGATTGGGCATACTAGGTCCCTCCCCACTCACTCACTCACGCACGCACGCACGCACGCACGCACGCACGCACGCACGCACGCCCGCACTCAGACACCCATCCACCCACCACTCACTCACCCACTCACTCACTCTCACTCATTTTCCTTGGGCCTGATCCCCGCTAAAAGCCCCGAGTGTCTGCCCCACCCCCACCCCCACCCCCACCCCCACCCCCACCCCCGCCCCCGCCCCCACACCCACACCCACACCCTCTACCGTACAAAAACGTACATCTACAACCAATTCACTTGAACATGGAGATACTTTCATTTATTTATTGATCTGAATATGCTTAATGTGTTATTTGCAAGTTTTCTGAATTATAACTCTTTGCACAACATAAATCACTTGACTACCTGGTACTTAAGATTCGTAAGAGTTTGTTCATGTCTCGGTCGCAATGGGTCTTTACTGGGCGTGCCTTAGACCGACACAGTGGTGAATGCCGGTTATGGGCTGTTAAAAAGGAGTTGATAATTGATTGTATTCGGTCAACAAGGCATTACACCTTGACTACAGTCATACACAGTTATCTAAACATTGCCTATTCTGTAACAAGAATGTCAAACTTGCCTCTCCGGTTATGCGTACGGTTATTATGGTTGCCTTTTGAATAAAACATATAGCGCAGGCAATGACGAATAAACATAACGGGCTCGCCTTTGTACTGAGTAAATGTGACGCACAGGTATTTCTGGCAGAGTGAGGTGTGGTGAGGTGAGGTGAGATGAGATGAGGTGAGGTGAGGTGAGGTGAGGTGAGGTTGTGGGGTGAGGTGAGGTGGGGTGGGCTGGGGTGGGGTGGGTTAAGGTGAGGTGAGGTGAGGTGAGGTGAGGTGAGGTTGTGGGGTGAGGTGAGGTGGGGTGGGCTGGGGTGGGGTGGGTTAAGGTGAGGTGAGGTGAGATGAGATGAGGTGAGGTGAGGTGAGGTGGGGGGGTGAGGTGAGGTGGGGTGGGGTGGGGTGGGGTGGGGTGGGTAAAGGTGAGGTGAGGTGAGGTGAGGTGAGGTGAGATGAGGTGAGGTGAGGTGAGATGAGGTGAGATGAGGTGAGGTGAGGTGGTGGGGTGAGGTGGGGTGGGTTAAGGTGAGGTGAGGTGAGGTGAGGTGAGGTGAGGTGAGGTGAGGTGAGGTGAGGTGAAATGGGGTATATGTCGCGTCCAAGATTATAACGACGTGCATGCACGAATGTGTGTGTGCGTGTGTGTGTGTGCATGTTTGTGTGTGTGTGGCTGCTTGTACTAGTCCGGACTGATGCCGATTTTATAGTGCTAGCCCACTGAGATAGCATGCCGCAGTTTAACATGGATAACCCAATCAGACACAGTATACTGACCCTTAATGCCGGGCGCCAGGTAAGGTAACAACACGTACCATCTTTTAACGTCTTTTGGCTGACGTGGCCACGGATCTAACCCCAGACATTCCGCTCTCCGGGCGGACGCTCTACCACTAGACCACAGAGTGTGTGAGAGGGTGGGTGACTGAGTTGGTGACCTAATGGGTGGATGGTCAGGTGAGTGCGTGCATGGGTGGTGGGAAATAGTGAGTGAGTATATTATATCTCTTACTTTGAGTATGGTCTTATGAGTCCTTTTTATCAATCTATCAGCAGTATCACGACTTAAGGATACCATTAACGAAACACAATCTTTCCAAGTGAAGAATTGAAACCGAGTACAACAAACAAACTGTTCGAAGGCATTAACCGCAAGGCCACCCCAACACATAAACAATGAAATAATAATTTAAAAAATAATAAATAAATGAATAAATAAATAAATAAATAAATAAATAAATAAAATAAAATGAAATGAAACGAAACGAAACGAAACGAAACGAAACGAAACGAAACGAAACGAAACAAAATAATAAAGCGACAAAACCATTTCTAATCCAATAGAAATATCTGCATTAAGCAGAGACGATTGTACGATTCCGACTATATCATGTGCATGAGTTTATGAATCAATAGCCCATTTCTGGTGTTCCCCGCCGTGATATTGCTGGAATATTGCTAAAAGCGGCGTAAAACCATACTCACTCACTCACCCACTCACTCACTATGAATCGATAGTAATGATACTACGTAACTGACTCCTTTGTCGAATCAGAAAGTGTTCATAGTCGTACCAGGACAATGTGAAGCCAGCCACCAGACGGACCAGATAGTTTACGGTAGTTCCGTCGCGAGTCTCCTTGTTATAGTTGTAGCTACGAGACCCAGCTATTCAGCTGCCTGGCACGGTGTGGTGTTTACTGTTTAATGTCCATGTGTGTGAACGTACAGGGGTGTGCAGCAGCGTTATCTCGTTGGAAGTTACATGAAACACAGAGGGTAAGTCATACATGTTTAGATACCGTATGCTACAGATTACAGAAAATGTCTGGTGGGGAATTCCGAAAAAAATGAGTGAGTGAGTGAGTGTGGTTTTACCCCGCTTTAAGCTATATTTCAGGAATGTTATTGCTGGAGACAAAATGAATTGGATTCATACATTGTACCATGATGGGAACCGAAGTTTACAGAACGGATATTTACAGAATTTTGCAAAAAGGGATCTGATTGTAGTTAGGCCATGCGTTACACTCTGTCTCACAATTTTCAGAACAACTTGGTGATAGTTTGTAGCAATGGGAGTCTATCTGCCTCCAGGAATACTTTTTGCCAAACATGTTGCTCATGAACTTTCTAGCGGTACGGATGGCACAGTCGTCTAAGGCGCCGCAATTCGCTGTGCAAAGTTGCGTCCCTTGGGCACGCCAGAAACCTATGATCGTGGGTTTGAATCCAGGTTCTCCCCGATTATGTGTCTAGGTGAGTCAGCTCGTGCTCGTGGGTTTCACCAAAATGGTCAACGTCTGAGACATGCATCACTTCGGACTTTCTTCCTGCATAAAGCTGACACGCGGCGATAACAGGAATACTGTTCAAAGCGGCGTTAAACCCAACTCACTCACATCCATCCACTCACTCACTCACTCACTCATTAGACGTATGACCAGGAGACAGGAACACCTCCCGTTTGTCAGAGCAGCCAGTGAACAACAGAACCTTCCTCTTTGATCTAAACTATCTTTTTATCTCAAATTAAAGGGTTTCAATTTAGAATATTATCTGAGCTTTCCTTTGTTCTCTTTTGTATTATCATATTATTGGGTATATCCAAGTAGGATATACCATGTTGTTTATAAATCTGTGCCATATAGTCTTCAGAAATGGGATGGACTAAATACGATAACCAACAGGAAACACAACACTGAACTACTTATCGCAAACCAACCTATACTGAACGAGTGAACGTGCGCAATCAATATTGCGAGTTAAGTGCAAATTGGGCAAGCTCTTTAGTGATGGAGACTTAATAAGAATTATGGGTTCGAATTAGCGGGAAATAGAAACTGTTGAAACGGTAGGCAAGGCGACGTTACACACGCAATGCAAAGTCAAAAGTTTTAGCGCAAAGGTGAAGAGAGGAATTAAATTTGAAAGAGATTGTACTTGAAACTAATCGTGATCCATAGTCCCCACTTCAACATCGACTTCTGTAAACCCAATCTGTTTTGGACGCACTTAGCCTGTCATACTTGACACGCCCGTATCCAGGCGTTGAGTTGATATCACCAAGTTGACGTCTTTATCTCATTGCTGCTAGCGAGGACTCTGTTAGTAGTTACTGTCTATAAGGAAATCCGCCTCAAACACCCCAGACGTAGGGACATAATAAAAATAATAATGTTTCTTAAAGGTGTTTTTACAAATAGGTAAATTGGGTGTTTTTAGTATATTTTGTTCAGGGTCTGAAAATTCGTCAGCAATCACGTCGGCTGGGTGGAAACAAGAAAAGAACAATCTCATAGCAATGGACCAAAACTTAAACCGTGTCGTTACTGAAAATTTACAAATAGCCTTGAAATCAGCCTACTACACGATACGTTATAAATTACACTCACAATGTTGAAATACATAGTTACAGCTCTGTATTGCTTTATGGTGCATATCATACTGTACCCAGGTTTATCCCCGAGCGCGCCTTAATAAACTGTCTGTTTGCCTGACACTTGGTGCCATGATTGTCATTATAAATATTTAGATGTACAACTTATAATTAGACTATCAGCAGCAGTTCAAGGAGACATTTAATCCTGAAAACAAGAGACAAGTTCAAGGAAAGCGCCACGCTTTCTTAAGATGTTAAGGCCAATTCGTCATTTTGCCACAGTGAATGATCCCACGATGGGAACCACTTACTTCACCTCAAAACGAGGACTTAGGACACGATTTTGAAAATCAATCTTCAGAAACATAAGCAGTCCGTTCTCAATGACTTTTGAGTAAATTTTTCAAGTTAAAAATGTTTTAATGTGTATGTAATGCCAGCTCGTGTCAATATGTCATGTACAATGTATGTGTACGCGAATAAAGATGAATGGTCGTTGCTTTTCGTTTCGTCTTCCGTCTAACCTTTTGTACTTTGTGTAATCCGGATCTCGCCGCAAACCGGACCGGTCCGTCCGAGTTCGAACTGGACAGACTCCACTGTATGTGAAGGTTGTTTAATTTGTTTTGCTGTCGTGTGTAATTTCAACCTTGTGTTAATGATGTCGGTTTAATATTCCAAGTACAAGTAACCTATCCTAGATTGATAACGTCAGTGTTATAGGGCTGTTTATATACCTATCTCTGTCACAAGAAGTATGGGGGCGGTCGGGTAGCCTAGTGGTTAAAGCGTTCGCTCGTCACGCCGAAGAACCGGGTTCTATTCCCGACATTTGTGAAGCCCATTTCAGGTGTCCCCCGCCGTGATATTGCGGGAATATTGCTAAAAGCGGCGTAAAACTATACTCACTCACTCACAAGAAGTATGGACTAAGTCCCCACTTTTCAGAACCCACATTGGCTGTAACCATACCGTTACAGTGAGGGCACCAGGTCTTCCCCCAGCGGGTTGCCACTCCTGCCCTCCCGGAAAAATCCACCATGAGTGAAGGTCAAGGTCGAAATACTTATTTGAACATATCTTTCGTTACCATTTAACGGAACGGTATCACATGTTTCATGGTTGAAATAAATCACAAGCACAACTGCCTTCCGCCATGCAATTCACCAATATATACTGCTCAATTATGTGTAGGGCTAGTAAGTTATTACATGATGTTACAAAACTGAATAACGACTTATTAAACTGTGTACTTGTGTTTATTTAACTTCCATACGCATCAGTGCCTTGACAACAGCGAATACTGCTCGCATGAAAACATATCCAAGCAATTAGTGACATTCAGTCCTCACCTGGACGCTCAGAATATTCTATCAAACCTTTAGTCGTTTATTTCTGGTATTATAGGCAACCAACATACAAGCACTCATAAACAAACTGTCATATTTAGTTACAATGTCCTGATCAAAGTCATATATCCACTTGATAACGTTGATTCGTGTCTGAACAATTTTACGTCAATTTGTTGGAAAAGAAACTCAGTACCTTGACGGCACGCTAGCACTAGGATGACTAGAAAATCCTAATCTGTCTATACGGTAGAGTGCGTGTCGGACGACCTGCTATTACAGCAGTAATACATGCACTGGCAACAGAGACAACATTGTGTCGGGGCACTGCATGCATGAATCAATTGAACTGCTGTTGCCGATTCATATAGAGTGTTTATAGTAACCTCTTTATTATGTACACAGTAAACTGCATTTCAGCGGGTCCATGTTAACGGCTTGAGGATCGCCGTGTGTTGGTCTCCATCATGGGGTGTGGATCCAGCAACGCCTTGACGGATGATCCGGACATATCCGAGGTAGGTTCATACACCCAGCCATCAGATACTGAAACATTAATAGTTAGAAGGATCTTTGTAATCCTGTTACACGTGGACATGTCACACATGGTCAAACATGTTTTAACGGTATTTTTATGTTCAGCTTAGCAATGGTTTGATCAGTTAAATAGGTATCAAAATAAACTGCCAGCAAAAGAAAGAATACAACCATGTTTGATGGTAGCTAAAAAGAGACAAACATGAAATGCTTATTCAATGGTGATGTATTTGATACGGGTATCACAGTTGTGTTTTGTGGTCTTGCGTTTGAAGTGTTTCGACAACTGTTTTCAGCCTAGTTTTTTAGTCAGATCCAATTTTCAGGCGTACATGTCTTTCGCCCGGGCGGTCGGGTAGCCTAGTGGTTAAAGCGTTGGCTCGTCACGCCGAAGACCCGCGTTCGATTCCCGACATGGGTACAATGTGTGAAGCCCATTTCTGGTGTGCCCCGCCGTGATATTGCTGGAATATTGCTAAAAGCGGCGTAAAACCATACTCACCCACTCACTCTTTCGCCCGGCGGTTTTTGTCTGGGTTTAAATTTAAAAGTGGACAGGCGAAGTGACAGCCCCAGGAACTGTGTTTTAATCCGTTCAAAAGGTAGCTTTGTTTGAATGCTAATTAAAGTGTTACTAATAGTACGTAACGATACTATATGATTGTACACGTAACAGTACATGGTGGCTTTACGGGTTTCACACAAGACACTAAACCCAACATCAAGACATACACCGTTAACAGTGCAGTGCAGCATAGTGAATCTGCATCTGACCCTGATGACTTTATTACAGATCGAAGTTCCAGATTCAGAGGATGGATACCCAAAACCAAAACCACCAACATCAAAGAAGAAAGATATATTCGACGCGGAGGATTATAAGGAAATTGACCAAAATGCTTCCAAAGTAACCAAAGATATTTATTGTTGTTACTAATGTTTTCGTAATTCTCTGTCTGGAGTAGTTTATTATGTTAGGATATGATTTTACTTTGTAATCCGCGGTACATGCTCTTCCTGTATACACGCACCGTATCCATGTTTGATCATATCTACAAAACAAATCTCTTCTCTGACTAAAGGGACACAGATGGCCAAGGCATTTCGCTGTGCAGTTTTGTGTCCCTTTCTCATTGGTGATGGGTGTTCGAGTCTCAGATTCGTATCAGTAATGATTCTAGATATGTCAGCACCACACCAGATCGCGTGGGTTCAACCTGACGTCCACTACCTCAGTTACTTTGGAATTTCGTCCCATATCAAATCGTGATATAACTGAAATTGTATTAAAATCGCCTTTTAAATTCAACTGATTACCTTCATAGGGTTCCTTGACCTTTTATATTAAAAAGAAACGCATGGTAGCTTTTGTGTGTGAATTAACGAACATTCCTTAACAACCATGACCGTGCCCTAAAGTCTGCTTCAACGTTACAGATTATTATTAAGGACGATACAACCTATGAGGAGCTCCTGACGACGTTGACGAAAGACTTAAAGACAGATCTGCAGAAGCTCCGAGCCATATTCTACCTCGTTGGGAGCCTGAATATCGAGAAACAATTCTACAAGGGCGTGACCGACCCCCACACCCCTCGTGGCCACATGAAACTCATCAAGTTGAGGAAGGGGTGGTACACGGACTTCTTTGCCCTACTTTGTAGGTAGGTGAATGTAGCCACCATTGCCATTCTTCTTGATGTGAAAGGTGAACCAATGACTGCTCCCTGCTCGCGTAGCGTTGTATTTTAAAAGGTAAGGTGAGATGAAATGGGGTTTAGTGAGTGAGTGAGTATGGTTTTACGCCGCTTTTAGCAATATTCCAGCAATATCACGGCGGGGGACACCAGAAATGGGCTTCGCACATTGTACCCATGTCGGGAATCGAACCCGGGTCTTCGGCGTGACGAGCGACCGCTTTAACCACTAGGCTACCAGACCGCCCCCGTCGCGTCCAAGATTACTGCACTTATGTTGCGACGTGCATGCACGTTTGTTTATGGGTGTGACTGCTTGTACTAGGTCGGACTGATGCCGATTTATAGTGCTAGCCCCCAATGCCTGCCATGCCGCAGTTTAACATGATTACCTCCATCAGACACAATATACTTACTCCGAACCGACCAGTCCTTGTTTTAGCCAATTAACGTCGATCGCCAAGCAGGGTAACAAGAAGTTCCATCTTTTAACGTCTTTTGGTTAGACGCGGCCGGGGATCGAACCACGGACCTTCCGCTCTTCCACTAGACCACGTAGCCGGTCCGTGTGTTAAAACATAGAAACATATGGCTAGTCAGAAACCTGTTTTGTAGTGCGCTATATTATACTATTAAGTGTTGTGGGTATCTTCACATCCGTGTGGAGTTCCTCAAACAGGGTCAAATATCCAATGATCATATTTAAGCATCTAAAGGGATTCGGACTGCAGCACGAATTTTCTTAGCATTTTAAACATTAATATATCTTATAATGCACCGCTAGGGAATTAAAATATTCACATCATCATTACGAGTGATTCTTTTCAAGTCTTGCACAGACCATGATTGTGTGAAGAAAAAATTACAGAGACAACGATTACAGGAAATGTAAATATTGTTCAAGAAACAAAGTCCTGTACTTTCAAATCAATCCTAATTCCAGGGCTGCTGGCTTGCCATGCGTGATTGTCCACGGCAAGGGGAAGAGCGTGAACTATGAGGTGGGGGACAAGGATCCCAGTGACCTCTACAGTGACTGGAACGCTGTTTATGTGGACGGGGAGTGGAGGCTGGTACATGCGCTGTGGTCCTACACTGGCATCATGGGCTACGATGCTGGACGATGGATGAAGATCGAAGCCCAAGGTCAACAAAAGCGAGAGAAACAGCCAGCATCGAAAGGGAAACAAGTTTCTGGAATCAAAGAGTTTTGGTTCTTGACCGATCCTGACCAGTTTGTGTACTTCTGTCTTGCTGACCGTCAAGAATGGCAGCTGTTGGGCAAGCCCTGGACAGTTGACAAGTTCATGGATGTGCCTTATTTTAGACATCCATATTTCACCAGTTCTGATATGACTCTCACTAGTGACCACAAGTCTGTTCTTGTTTCTGACGGAGGTCGAACAGTTATTGCCTTTGAGCATGATACCGAATGCAAATCGGACATCACTTACGAGTTGTTTTTTGACGAAAAACGTTCTGAGGGTACCTTACCGGACAGTGTTAAACTCCCCCGCTGCGTTTTGTTTGAATCAACAGAGGAACAAAAGAAACTTTATTATCGTTTCCATGTTGTTGGTATCTATAAAACTGTTATTTATATCGGCGGAAAATCAAAATTACCAATAGTTGCATTCATGATTGACTGCAAAGAGGTGTCACAGAATAAAAACCTATTCCCAATCAATCCTGACATCGGGTTCGGCTTTGGTCGTCCGGCTAAAGTCTTTGGTCTACAATCGCTCTCTGAGTCCGAAGCAATTGTTGAAACTGTTAAAAACAAACCATGTGAATTCCACTTTAAGCTCAGTGAGGATAAACAGCTTGAGGCTAATCTCCGACATAATGACCTTGAACCAGGGAAATTACAGCAATGTGTCGAGAAGGAGACGAAAGATGACAAGGTCACATTCAAGGTCACCGTACCGGAAGACGTGGACAATGGCGAATTTGCACTGCAGATCTATGGTCAGGACAGCAAGGGAAAGGTCAATGTCGTCAACTATCTCTTGACCAACAACAAGGGGGATTTCGGGTCTGATGATGAGGTAAGTCTTTGCTTTCACCATAGCAAGAGTGTATTGTTGTACAAGTCATGTTGAGAAAAGATCTATTGTGTTACATTTGGATCCATATTACCACAATATCGGAATTATAGCCATATTACTGTGTATTGCCCTATATATAACTATACATTATTACATATCCTGCCCCACCGGTGGAACCCTTAACATGTGTTTGTGAAGTCAACCTTTGACCTATAATAACACAAAAACATATAGTACAATTCTACAATGAATTTGGAAATTACTCAATCAGAGGTTTTCAAATCACAATAAACCCCCTCTGATTGAAACAATCACATCGGAAGCTTATATTCATAGAATGGTCCTTTTTTCAGTCATTGTCGGTGGGCATATTTAAATAATTATATCTACAACTATAAGATAGCTACGCGATAAATCGCAAAGAAAAATGAAGAACGAAGTGTGGTTTATTTCACGATAAAACAGTGTTCTATCATGACTTCATTGCTTCTGTCATATGTTCGAATGACGTAATACGGTGTGAACAAACTGCTTGAGCATGGAGAGCGCTGTATTTCGTTAAAGGCTGCCGTCGGTGATTCCGTAATTCAGATCGACAACCCACTGAACACATTGTACTCAACCCATGTCGCTTCACTCAATATATTTGCTAACACCAAAGAGTTCGCGTTTTATTTAGTCATGGTAGAATGGACATGCATGTACACAAACTGTGTTTTCAATGTAGAGCTAGTTGTCTGTAGATTTAACCGCACTAAATGTAACATTTGAAACCCCACGCTGCGCGTACGGTTCCAAATTCAATTTAGGAAATAGGAAATTGCATCAGACATAATGTTTGTCTTTGATGCTTTCAAATTTGGATATGTCTTACATAAAACCTTTTAAATGGATAAACAATATATGTGAAATCGATATATGCAGATATATATCTCTGAAAATATTTCAAGTTGGTAGACACATTTTCCATTAGTATATATTAAAGCTAATGGCCTGAAACTTGGAGGAAATTAAAAACTCTGATATATATTAAAGCTTCTGTTTGCAATACAGTTTTAACACATTATTTAGATATATACTGGATAGATTCGTTTACAATCGCCAATATAACGTTATGGAAACTGCACTGCGTTGTCTCATGTTCACACTAATACATGGCCCAATACACATGTATGGCATCCTTTTAACTTCGTCTAGTATAAAGGTACGAAGCTGGTACTGTAAGGCCCTGTACGTACGGAAACCGACCCGTGAAGATCCGGGGTAGAATAGGTCTTCAGTAATCCATGCGTGCCGTAAAAGGTGACTATGTCTTGTCGAAAGAGGTGTGTGGTCAGGCTTTTATTTTTAGACTATAAATAGACGTCATTTTCAAATATATTCTGGAACAAAATATTGTTTAAGAAACACATATACCATGCTCACCACACCCTACAAATGTCACATGGTAGGCCGCTCATTATGTAGAGGTGTAGGACATATGTCAACATGAACGACGAGGACGCCTATTAAATAAAGCTTCACACCAATGGACATCTATTCGTCAAAAGGGCGATGATATGTTCTTAACAACCCCATGACTGTCTATATCGATCGTGGTTCTTCTAGGTAATGCGAAGGCAGCACCTACCCACTTCCAAGTAAAAGTCCAATGGTTTCATTGAGCTATACAAACACCTCGCTTATTCGTCCATATGTGTGAGGGAGGTTTGTTGTGTGAGCTGAGTACGCAGGTCACAGTTCTATACCTTCCACCTGAATGATCTTTGTTCCTCAACAGCGTATGAAGCGTTGAAATGTTTTGCCCTTTCATGAAAAGTCATGTTCTCTTTTCAAACGGGCAAGTGTTACCGATCGTGTTCCCTTGCATTGCATTTCTACGCGGTAATATGTTTATATTTCTCAGCGTCGATTTCAGTATGTTTGTTGGTTTGTTGTTGAACGCCGCACTCAGCAATACTCCAGCTATATGACGGCGGTCTGTAAAATAATCCAGTCTGGACCAGACAATCCAGTGATTGACACCATGCGCATCGATACGCGCAATTGGGACCGATGACATGCATCAACCACGTCAGCGACCCTGACAACCCGATCCCGTTAGTCGCCTCCTACGACAAGAATAGTTGCCTTTTACGGCAAGCATGGGTTATTGAAGACCTATTCTACCCCGATTATGTTTTTAAATGGTATTCTATTTGTCCCTTGCTAATCACCAATCAGTGTTAATTAACTGTTGGCTTCCCTTGTCAATATTTCCGCCTTTGTCATCTTATTACTTTTGTTTTTTTTACATGTAGATATATCTGCTCTCTGCATCCTAGCATCCATTCACCTGATGAAGGAGTATACTAGTACTCCGAAACGTTGTTCCTCAAGAAATAGCAGTTGACATCCATTTTCTCTCTTAATCGTGATTATCTCTTTGATATTTGTAATTATAACATAATGTTATTTTCAAAATATGTGATAACTCCACAAACTGGACCATAAATATAAGAAATCTCTTCTGAAAGCAGAGTCCTCAGTAGGTTAATGTAATAGTGAGTGAGTATTGTTTTACGCCGCTTTTAGCAATATTCCAGCAATATCACGGCGGGGGACACCAGAAATGGGCTTCACACATCGAACCCGGGTTTTCGGCGTGACGAGCGAACGCTTTACCACTGGGCTACCCGACCGCCCCTTACTGTATTACAGGCAAACTGGTTTCGGATGTGTCAGATTGATTTGAAGTGTGTGTGTGTGTGTGTGTGTGTGTGTGTGGGGGGGGGGGGGGGGGTTAAACAACCAACCCACCATTCTATTTTTATCAGTGTCAGTTGACAGCTACCACCTACATATCTGCTTGAATGTCAATCTTTTTTTCAGTAGAGAGCGTAGTTCAAAACGATTACACGATGTAGGACATTATGTTCACATATTCCTCTACGACGGACACCACAGAAAATTATCCCTGGGTCTTCCATTATATCATATATAATTATATATATATTCACAATGCAAAATATAACCAGTCTAGATTTTCCGCCGAAACAAATTCATTTCGGCGTTAAGGGCAAAGGAGCTGGGGAATTTATATGAATGGACCAATGAAAATCAGTGATGACGTCAGGTGTTTGCGAAAAAAGTAAGCATATCCTGTCCTACCGATAACACCTATCATGCTCTCAGTTTGCATAAAAAAGAATGTGTGTATTGCCTGACGCCACACAGCAGTGCAATGTAAACAAACTAGACAATCAAGTGATCGTTGAACCAGAACATCCAGTGACACGACAGTGCATTTACAGATTTAGTTGAATTATGTATGCTGTGTACAAGTGCAGATATTCTGCTGCTGATAAGTAAAGAAAAACGTTGAAGAAATATATTCGTTTTGCAGCACAGTGGGTGTCAGTTTCAAATTTTAGTCTCTGGTTAGTCAAACGTTTCTTTTGTTGGTGTCTCAGCAATGAATCTATTATCATAACATCAAGTCTTCATAGGAGGTTGTGCTACTCACAATGGAATACATTATCCTCGGGCCCGGCAGCGTAAAATGTCAGGGTATTGTTGTGTATCTTATTTGTTTGTTGTTTAACGCTGGGTGCATGAATAGTCCAGCTATATGACGGCGATCTGTAAATTATCGAGTCTGGACCATCAAATCCAGTGATTCCTATTGTGAACAACGGTCCGCGCTGTTGGATACAATGGCATGCCATCAACCCAGTCACCGAGTCTGACCACCTGTGCATTTAGTCGCCCCTGGCGAACAGCGTATGTTGCTGGCGATCTATTCAAACCCGGAATGACCACTGTTTATGTATTATTAAAACATTATCAATACTATTAGATGCATGTAAGGAGTGAGTGAGGCTTTACGCCGCTTTTAGCAATATTCCAGTAATATCACGGAGGGGGACACCAGAAATGGGCTTCGCACATTGTACCCATGTCGGGAATCGAACCCGGGTCTGCGGCGTGACGAGCGAATGCTTTAACCACTAGGCTACCCGACCGCCCCTGCAGGTAAGGAAGAGAGCATACCAACTGTACAGATAGGATAGGAAGTGTTCATGCAGGTACCGGCGTCTGCTGGTGATTGTGAATGGCTCTGGTCGGTTGGCTACCTTGATTTAATTGTTAGGTATATTGCATGTAATCGGGATACGCCCGTAAAACTCATTTTTAATATTAATTAGCGCTTAAACTGTCGCTTGCTTCAGAAGCGAATTCGGAAGCAACTGAAAGAGGCATTAAAGCATGAAGATCTGGACGAACTGGAGAAGGCAATAGAGGAGTTTGAGAAGGCGGACCTGTCTGATGATGACGATGACCTTGCCACCGCCAAGAGGAAGCTCAAACGGCTGAGAAAAGGAAGTGATGGTATGACTACCTACTCGCAGTAACATTTTGTTTGTTTGTTGTTTAACGCCGCATTCTGCAATATTCAAGCCATAAGACGGCGGTCTGTAAATAATCGAGTCTGGACCAGACAATCCAGTGATTGATATCACGAGCATCGATCTAACAGTAACAATAGCCTGGCGTTCGTGGGAGTGTACTTCACGGATTTCTATAATACACTGGTACCACGGAATATTCATTCATTCACTGATACGTTGAATACTAGTAATACAATGCTATATAGCCACTGTTAATATGAATACACAAGTCCTCTTATGTGAACAGCGTTGCTAGCTAGACTCCGAGCCGACCAGTCCTTGTTTTAGCCCCTAAATGCCGAGCACTAGGCACGGTAACAAGTGCTGTCATTTAACGTCTTTTGGTATGATGCGATCGGGGATCGAACCCACTACCTTGCGCTCTCCGGGCAGGCGCTGTACCACCAGACCACGGAGGCGGTCCTCGTCATGAAATGGGTTCAAATACATTAGTATATATTTTAGGTTACAGGTCACCTTTCGTAAGTAAGGTGCCATCACTCATCAACAAAGTTCCTGTTCCATTCGCACAGATGACGTGGACCCAGACCAGTTGTTGGCGAACTTGAAGAAAGCCATGGGCGACAAGAACCTGGAAGAGTTGGAGAAAGCCATAATTGAGTGTGAAGCAAACGGGCTTCAGGACCACGAAGATGTCATAAAGGCGAGGAAACGCCTCGTCAAACTTTATGAAAAGGGTATTTCCATTTACTGTTTTATTCTTTGAAGGAGGGCACCTGATAGTTTGTTTGTTGTTTAACGCCGCACTCAGCAATATTCCAGCTATATGACGGCGGTCTGTAAAAAATCGAGTCTGGACCAGACAATCCAGTGATTGACGTCATGAGCATCGATCCACGACAATGGGATACGATGACAATCATCAGCCAAGTCAGCGAGCCTGACCACCCGATCCGTGTGTCGCCTCTTACGACAAGCATAGTCGCTTTTTCCGGCAAGCATTGGTTGCTGAAGACCTATTCTACCCCGGATCTTTACGGGTCTCCATTGATGTCAAAGACGAACATATCGCTGATCAGAGAAAAGTGTGTCGACCATTTCTTTGTCCGTTTTTTTCTAATCCACGGCTGATTTTGGGGTGTCCTCGGAATAACGCGTGATCTCACCAAAACGATATCCCCTATTTACATTTTATGAAAGATCAAAATATACCACATGTCAATGTATCAAGATTATGACCAACGCAAAAGAATATATCATCCTATAGTTATGCACGTTTTTTCCACAGCGGCAGAGAAAGCGATGAAGGAGAATGATGTGAAGGAAGTTGAGCGACTGCTGAATCGCTCCCGGAAGTCACCCGTGGCCCCTGAACTCGATGACTCAGAGGTGATGATGCGAGCCGAGCGCTACCTGTACCAGCAGAAGAGGCTTCAGAAGTATCTGAGTGTCGTCCTGGAACTCAAGCCATCCACCGTGTCGGAGATCCACCGCTACAACCACCCCACCGTGCACAGCCACGACTCCGTCATGGCGACCTATATACTGCTGGGCGAGAAGAAGGCAGATCTCCAGGTGGGACAAGGAAGGCAGCTAAAGTTGTTTTTTTGTATTATTTTACAGATTTTGTTTTCGAAACCTTTGTGTCGGTGGTCTCAGTTAAAAAGAACTGCAGAAACAATGTTTTTTAGGCATCTCTTTGAAATATAGTTTTGCTACTTGTTTGTTTGTTTGTTGTTTAACGCCGCAATATTCCATCTGTATCACGACGGTCTGTAAATAATCGAGTCTGGTCCAGACAATCCAGTGATTGACATCATGATTTTTGTGTGTGAGTGTGTGTTGTTTAACGCCGCACTAAGCAATAATCCTGCAATATGACTGCGGTCTGTAAATAATCGAGTCTGGACCAGACTTTCCAGTGATTGACATCATGAGTATCGATCCACGCCATTGGGATACGATGACATGCATCAACCAAATCAGCGAGCCTGACCATCCGATCCCATTAGTCGCCTCTTACGACCATGGGTTGCTGAAAACCTATTATACCCCGGATCATCACGGGTCTGACACCATGAGCATCGACCTATAAAATTGGGATATGATGACATGCACCACTTAATGAAGTTCATTTTTCAATTACTGAAATTTGGTATTTTAAAATAGTGTTCTTATGATGGGACATTTTGTTATAAGACTTCAATCGGTACACATCTCCTGCAAAATGTTCGTCGCTTCTGAAGTTTTTAGCGTGGATTATCTTCTAAATACAAATTTTATTTTTTTCCCCAACAATGCTAAAAAATTTTGGCATGAATGGTGTATGGGTATTTTGAAAGTATAAGAATCCAAACTAAACATTTTGCATTTCAAATAAGGATGTTTGTATTGATTCAGATATGGCAGCGAGTACAGACGATGCTTCGTCTCCCTGGTAGAAGGGGCATCATCATCCGCATCAAAAACTTCAACGTTGGAGATCTCAGTACATGGCGTGCCAAACAGGCCAAGCGGTTGTTGGATAGATATACCGTGGACGGTGTCCGAGTGGTCAGTGCGGGGGCGGCCGCCTTCTATGTGTGGGTACGTAGCTCGGACACCTGTCATCACTATTTGTTCTGGATACCTAAATTCAGTGAACTTGGAAACCGAGGTTGTCAAACTATTATTGTCAGTTGTTGGGTAGACGTTTGATTGACCTACTTTAATTCTTCTATTTATTTTATGATTCGGTAAATGTCAACCTGAATGTGAAATTAAGGTCAAGGTCAGTAGGAAAACATGGCGGTAACGTTATAGAATATTTTGTTCTTGTGTCAAATCAGATGGAACAGAAAAAACAACAACAGTTTTACCCTTTTCTGTCGGCAAGGACATTACTGTCAGGCCTAGTTTGACAAATATACCCAACATATGGATCGTTCCATATTCAGAGGTGTTATTTGCTAAAAGCAGTGTCCATTGTACGGTGACTATAACATGGTCAAAAGTCGATGTGGCGTTAAGATGTTGCTACCCAACGTGACGCCAAGCTTTACAACAGATATCAAGATGTTAAGTCTCATGGCGATATATCAGATCTCAAGATATCGTTAAATTGCCCACTAGATCTCAAGAAATTCTATGAAGATGTACTACCCGGAAAACATTTATAGGACAGATTTGGTCGTCTTCCAACTGGGCAAGTTTCATAATATATACCAATCGATTATGAGGTTGAACATTATATAGATGGGACCGGTGAAGATCCAGGGTAGAATAGGTCTTCAGCAACCCATGCTTGCCGTAAAAGGCGACTATGCTTGTCGTTAGAGGCGACTAACGGGATCAGGTGGTCATGCTCGCTGACTTGGTTAATCGTATCCCAATTATGGTGATCGATGCTCATGGTGTCAATCACTGGACTGTCTGGTCTAGACAATTATTTACAGACCGCCATCATATAGCTGGAATAGTACTGAGTGCGGCTTTAAACAACAACAAAAGAAAACATAAAACGTTATACATCTTGGTGGGTATTAAATGGTAAGAAATATGCATGGATTGATAACAGGCTGGTTATGTTATCGTATTGCAATGTGTGGGAGCGTTGACAAAACTCCTCAAATTGGGCATACACATGTTACAGGTGATTTTGTATGAACACAATGAAACATCCCATTTGACATTCTGGTGAGGTTGTGGGATGCTGTTAGGTCGATGCTCATGATATCAATTGCTGGATTGTCTGGTCCAGACTCGATTATTTACAGACCGCCGTTATAAAGCTGGAATATTGCTGAGTGCGGCGTTAAACAACAAACCAACCAACCAGTCAACTTTATATAGATGTTAGTGAAGGTCTTATTTCGGGATAATTGGGGGGCACGGGTGGCCCAGTCGTCTAAGGCGCCGCAATTCGCGGTGCAGAGTCGCGTCCCTTGGGCAAGCCAGAAACCTATGGTGTTGGGTTCGAATCCCGGTTCGCCCCGATTATGTTTCTAGGTTTGTCAGCACCATACCCGTGCTCGTGGGTTTCACCGAAGTGGTAAACGTCTGAGACCTGCATCACTTCGGGCTTTCCTCCCACATTAAGCTGACACGCCGTGATATAACTGGAATACTGTTAAAAGCGGCGTTAAACCCAACTCACTCACTCGGGATAATTGGAATTAGTTGTCAGTTTCAGCGACTTTCTCATGGTTGACGTCTTACAATTTCAGAGCTCTAACATCGTGGTGGAAGCCTTGACTCCGCCAAAGGAAGAGGATGAAGATGAGGATGAAGATGATGAGTGATGAAAGCAGCAGCATAATAGGCTAGTTCGACACTGATATTAAATATGCAGGGACCTGCGCATTCACGTGTTTCCACGCTTTGCGTCACAGTTCACGAAATCACCTTCGATGTCATTGTGTACTCCTCAGGGAGCTGATCATACATTAAAAACTGACTCGTTGTCAGGAATAGGTGAGGTGACATGGGGTTTATGTCCCGTTAAAGATTGTTACACTTATGTAGCGACCTACGTCGTGCATATGGTTGTGTGTGTGTGTGTGTGTGTGTGTGTGTGTGTGTGTGTGCGTGTGCGTGCGTGCGCGCGTGTGTGTGTGTGTGTGTGTGTGTGTGTGTGTGTGTGTGTGTGTGTGTGTGTGTGTGTGTGTGTGTGTGTGTGTGTGAGTGCGTGCGTGCGTGCGGGTGTGTGCGCGCGTGCGGGTGTGTGTGTGTGCGTGTGTGCTTGTACTAGACCTGACATTTCGGTTTTACAGTGCTGGCCCACTTAGATACCATGCCTCAGTTCAACATTATTACCCCAACTGAGAAACTCAGAAACAAACTCCGTGCCGTCCAGTCCGTGTGTTATCGCGTTACTGCCGAGCACCGTGCAGGGCAACAACAAGTACCATATTGTAACGTCTGTAAAGACGCGGCAGGGGATCGAACACCGACCTTATGCTCTCCGGGCAGACGCTCTATCCACTTCACTACAGCGGTGGTCTGTCAGGGATAAGTGTTGTATTCTGTACATCGCGCTTCTGAAGTGAAAGGGTACATGGAGGCTGACATTGGTTTCTCCCACACATCATGTGTTGGGTAGCCCAGTGGTTTATGCGTTCGCTAGTGACTTACAGGGCCCCAGTTCAATTCCCTGCATGCTTGGTGTCTCTTACTGAAAGAATAGTACGAAACTTTTGTTTTTATTGATCCGATGAAGTATTTATTTAAGGTATTATAAGGTAAGGTACATCAAAACCAACACATCTGTGATAAAAGTTTATTATATTGGTATTGTTGCATTGTCATTATCATGTAGATTTATTCACATATACACATGATCTACATGTATATATTTCGTTACTTATGTCTTGTTGAAGAAATCAATACACAAATAGCTGTTCGACGTGTTTCTCTTTCTTTGAACTACTTGTACGTACAAGGAATCTGATGTTATCTGAGGTATGAGCTGTTCCAGGAATATTTTTCTTAAAGTAATGGCGTTCATAGAAACGGTACCATTCCCAGTGAAGTTGTCGGGATTAACTTTCAAGATTATTATTAAAAAAAACTTACGTTGGGGAGTAGCGTCCTAAATGTGTATACAGTAGAACAAGGATATAACGAACACGGGTATAGCGAACAAACGGATACAACGAACTGTTAAAAAATCCCCGATTTATCTTCTATACAAGTCATTGCTGCAATTACGTGTATTGTGTTTTGTTTGTTGAAGATTGCGGACGTTTCCGAGCGAAAACGTATATAACGAACAACGGATATAACGAACTGATTTCTCTGGTCCCTTGTAGTTCGTTATATCCATGTTCTACTGTATGTAGATTTTCCTCGTAGTAACTTTCCGGTAAGCAGTATGTTCGGAAGAACAGGTTTCGGATTAACAGGGTTTCACTGTATGAGTTTGGGCACTATTATCTAACTAGTGTTCATTGATCGCGTGCCTACATTACACAGGACAGAGTCTCGTTTTATCACAGACGTTACAAGGGACTAGATAACCGGTCACATATAACACGTGGTTGGTGAGTGAGTTGGGTTTAACGCCACTTTGAAGAGTATTTCAGTTAATGTATCACTGATAACTGAAACGTGATACATTAACTGAAATACTGTCCAAAGTGGCGTTCAGCACAACTCACGCCACTTTGGACAGTATTTCAGTTAATGTGTTACGAAACCCGTGAAGATCCGGGATAGAATATGTCCTTAGCAACCCCTGCTTGCCGTAAAAGGCGACTCTACCGACAAATATGTTCGATGCTTTCGTAAAATCTGTTGTGAAAGAGGAGCTATTAAATTTACAATAATTTATTTCTACCCAGGTTTCCCTCTTCCTATGTGCATAGCAAACGTACCCCACCCCCACCCCACCCCACCAACTAGATCGGGTGGTCATCACTGATATCACTGATAACTGAAACGTGATACATTAACTGAAATACTGTCCAAAGTTGCGTTCAGCACAACTCACGCCACTCTGGACAGTATTTCAGTTAATGTGTTACGAAACCCATGAAGATCCGGGATAGAATATGTCTTTAGCAACCCCTGCTTGCCGTAAAAGGCGACTCTACCGACAAATATGTTCGATGCTTCCGTAAAATCTGTTGTGAAAGAGGAGCTATTAAATTTACATTAATTTGTTTCTACCCAGGTTTCCCTCTTCCTATGTGCATAGCAAACGTACCCCACCCCCACCCCACCCCACCAACTAGATCGGGTGGTCATCGTTGACATCATGAGCATCGATCTACTCAATTTGGAATACAATGACGTGCATCAACCAAGTCAGCGAGCCTGACCACTCCATCCTGTTAGTCGCCTCTTACAAGAAGGACAGTCACCTTTAACGGCAAGCATGGGTTGCAGAAGACCTATTCTGACCCGGATAGTCCCGGGTGTTGTTTAAGTAGGTCTTTCGTATGTAAAAAAAATATTATAATTGTAAATTATTACCGTTTCACTATGAGCAATGCAATTTCAAGGCGAAAAGAGCGAAGATATTGTGTTGATTCAGTGGTTATTGTGACCTTGCCGTTGGCGGCTAAAGTAATGGTATTTCTTGTAATATGAGCGGTGAGGTGAGGTGAAATTGGGTTTAGTGTCGCGTCCAAGATTATTGCACTAATATAGCGACGTGCATGCACGTGTGTGTGTGTGTGTGTGTGTGTGTGTGTGTGTGTGTGTGTGTGTGTGGATGTACTAGTCCGGACTGATGCCGATTTATGGTGCGAACTCACTTAGATTCCATGTCGCAGTTTAACATGAATACCCCACTCAGACACACTATACTGACTCCGAGCCGACCAGTCCTTGTTTTAGCCCCTTAATGCCGAGCGCCAGACAGGGTAACAACAAATACCATATTTTAACGTCTTTTGGTATGACGCGCCCGTGTTTCGAACCCCGGACCTTCCGCTCTCCGGGTGGACGCTCTTCCACTAGACCACAGAGGCAGTCTGAAATATGAACGGGTATCGGTGATCCAGTCTTCGAAAGGTCGATTCGCTGTTCAGAGTTACGTCCCTTGGGCATGTCAGGATCCAATGTTCCGTTTTTGTTAGCATCATACCCATGATTGTGGGTTTGACTTGCTTCACATTTTCACAGCGGTGTTAAACCCATCTCACTCACTAGTTCATGATAATAATAGCCAGTGACTTATATTACAATCAATGATTCACGACGTCGGATGACGTAATCAAGGAATTCCCCCATCCCCATCACCCGATCCATTAAGTTGCCCCTTACGACCTTGGGGACCTGTTCTAACATGAAGTACCAACAACAAAACACCAGTGAAACATGACATTCTGTTTATTTTAATATACATTTTTACACAGTTGCTGTAGATATTTCATATATGTTTCCATTATCGTATGCTTGTTCCCAAAGTATCGTCAAAAAAGGTGTGTGTGTTTACTGAATTACGTAAACGTATCATTTAGAAAATAATAAAACTAGGCTGCTCGACGCCCTTTACGACACATTGTACTCGCTGTCTGATCATCCGAGCCCTGGATATCAAGTAATGGAGGCGCTCTTCTTGCAGCCATCGCCATTCACGGGCAGATAACTCTCTATCCTCATCACAACTTCCGCCGGATGCTCGAATGTGGTGTTTCAAGGGTATTCAGCCAGCCATGAACCAGTCTCTAGCCGTCGACCAGTTGGTTATGGGCGTACTTTGAGCCGTCCTTGGTGATGGCCAAATTTCGGCCGTTACTGCCGTCGTCTTTGATTATAGTCAGGAAGCCCTCAACTGCTTGGTCTACGCTGAAATAACGAAATAGACAAAAATGTGAGAGTAGGTGGGTGAGTGAGTGAGTGAATGGGTGAGTGAGTGAGTGTTTCACGCTACAGTCAGCAGTGTCCTAGCTATGACAGCGGCGTGCAGGGTCCAAACTAGGGTAAGAGCATGTAACTTTAAAAAGCTCTGGAGGAAACCTGCATGGTTCTTTGGTTTTGCTTATACTTAAAAATAACAGAGTTGCGCCCCGGGCGTGGATCAAGCATACCAGTGATTGTATACATGAGCAATGATCAGCCATGTCCATTGTTAGCATAAATTGTACGATTTCAACTATATCAAGAGTACGTGTTTATGAATCACTATCAAATAGAAATGATTACAGGTGTTCGCGTTCTGGGGCGAGTGAGAATGATTTTACGACGCTTTATGCAATATTCCAGTGAGATCACGGCGGACGGAGACACCAGAAATAGGCTTCACACATTGTACCCATGTGGCCAACTGGTCGGTAGTATTGTTTTAAGCCGTTTATAGCAATATTCCATCAATATCACGGGGGGGGGGGGGGGGGGGGGGGTGAGAGGGGGGGGGGGGGGGGGGGGTGTGTGTGTGTGGCTTTACACATTGGAGCCATGAAGGGTCTTCGGCGTGACGAGCGAACGCTTTAAACACGAGGCTTCGATTCCTTAGATTGGTTCAGTGTGTGATGCACATGTCTGGTGTCCCCCGCCATGATATTGCTGGAATATAGCTAAACGCGTCAGTTAGGGACAGGACCGAAGCCCCAGACTCTCGGGGGTCCCCCATACACCTACTCTCTTTGACCAACGCTGGTTAACGTCTCCTCCGGGGTAGAGTAGCTCTTCAGCAACCCATGCTTGTCGTAAAAGGCGACTATGCTTGTCGTAAAAGGCGACTAACGGGATCGGGTGGTCAGGCTCGCTGACTTGTTTGATGCATGTCATCGATCCCAATTGCGTGGATCGATACTCATGATATCAATCACTGGATTGTCTGGTCCAGACTCGCAGACCGCCGTCATATAGCTGGGATATTGCTGAGTGCGGCGTTAAACAACAAACCAACCAACTAACGTCACCTGATTTGTGGCCTGTGAGATGTACATAGGACCACGTGTACATGCCACCACCAAATACCATCATGAAATGAAACGAAACGGGTCTGCATACCCCATGAGCGAGATGGCTTTCAGCATCTGCTTGAACTCTTCTGGATAAAGTAACTGTTCGTCCTTGAACTTCTGGAATGCTGTGTCCACTGCAGTGGGACAGACTGTTCCAAACCGGAGTCCCATGTCCCCAAGGTAAGGATTTCCCTGCAGAAACAAAGACGTTAGCGAAGGAATGTTCATGTCTATGCTCTGTGTGTACAACCAGCCACACTTGCTGACATTCCTAGTTACTAATATAGAGAATCTCACGTGAGTGTCTTTTGATATCAAATATATCAACACGAGTTGATAAAAGTGGGAAAACTCCGAGGCTTGCCGAGGATTTTTTCCCATTTATCAACGAGTGTTGATATATTTGATATCAAAAGACACGATGGTGAGATTTTGTTTATCATCCAACATCATTCTTCCAACTTTTTCAGTTTGTAGACAGTAATAAGCAGTGTCTTCAGTGTAAAAAGTACTGCCAACAGCTTCAGTAGCAGAGTCATTATTGATGTCATTTGATTGTGACGTCATGGTAACCAATGACGTCACAATGGTCTGCAAAGCATTGTGATGCAATTTCATTGCAGCGATATCAACAGTGTAGATATATAGAATACTAAACGAGCTCCCGTGTAATACCAATTTTATGAAACGAGTTTCATAAAATTGGTTTTACACGTGAGCGAGTTTAGTATTTTATTTATTACTTGTCATTTATAATGTTTTTAGAATTATACTGTTGAGTGTAAATAGGCTGACACCTACACGATCAATGGCATAATCCAATTGAGTTTAACAGAATAATACTTCAAACACGTCAAAAGTTGAAACGTATGAATTTAATATCATATATTATATAATGGTCCACCTTTAGAATTCAGGCGTTCGTCCCACAAAATTATCGTAGTGCTAAGGCTATCACAACTCACATAATTTAACTTAGACTAAAGACTCTCGTTGCGCTAGAGTACGATCGCCTTGTGGAACGGGGCCTTGCAGCTCAAAGTTTACAATGACGTCACAATACCCGATGACGTAATTTGTTGAATTTTGTTGCAAGATCCATCGGCGAGTCAAAACAATGTGACGTCAGCCTAGCAACAAGGTTGCTGGGGTCATCGAGTGTGCATAAGCTCCTCCCAGTGATCTATCATCTCCACACACAATGTCGTTGAATACGCCAAGGGATGTTGAGAGCTTTCAATATTTGTTCGTGAAACGTGTTCCGAGAGTACATAAGCACGCGTTTTGGTATTACACAATGTGTAATAAAGCTGTATGTTTATTAAACGGGTGATCTCTTCACGGGCAAGTAATAAATCGCTTGATCTCACCCAAGCGATATCTCCCGTGGGAGCCAGTTTTGGATGATAAATTAAAATCTGTAGATACCCATGAAGTTACGGGTTAGATTTGACCTTTAGCAAACTCATTCCTGTCGTAAGAGGCGAAAAACGGGATCGGTGCTTAGACCCCAACTGCGCAGGCCGATACCCATGATGTCAATCACTTGATTGTCTGGTCCAGACTGGACTATTTACAGACCGCCATCATGCAGCTAGAATATTGCTGAGTTTGGCGTTAAACAACAAACAAACAAACAATCTCCAGACAATTTCTTACACAGACACACAAAGATATAAAAATATTGTTCCTTCATAAATCTCAAATCACACCAATATCTAAAGACAGAGCCACTCTACCACCACCACAACTACTACGACTACGACTACATAACCTACCGCCCAGCTGTTGGTAAAGCCGACGACAGCATGCTTGGAGGCCACGTAGACGGGGAAGACGAACCTGGTGACGAGGCCTGCAATGTGTGATAGTACAAGTACATAGTTCACGATTTCATTCAACTGAGTTGGCCCTATAGCCTATTTATATTCCTCGTTCTTCTGGGTTTCATTCTTTTTCATAATTAGGACATCCTTTACTTTTGCAACAGTGTGATCATGTTCTGATCAGATCGCTACCATTAACATCATTGTTCTCACAAATAACGAATTTTGGATTTGCATTTGAAAGCATAGGCGGATCCAGAGGGGGTGGGGATGGGGGTGGGGGCTCCAGGGGGACCGCCGCGCTGTAATATGTTGTAGACAGGAACATGTACCGAGAGATGATTGAGATATTTTGGACCCCTCCCTTTTAAAAAAAAATAAAAATGCTTGTTCCTCCTTGAAAAGGTTGACTAATGAGTATGCTTGGTTGCCAGGAGAAACTTCAAGTCAAGTCGTTGCCATTCTGCCCGGGTTCGGAGTTCAACACACACTTTTTTAAAACCAAATGTAATATGTTGTAGACAGTAGAATTTACTGAGGGAGGATTTAGATTTTAGATTTTTTGGACCCCTCCCTTTTAAAAAAAAATATTAGTGCTTGTTCCTCCTTGAAAAGGATGACTATGCTTGATTGCCAGGAGACACTTCCAGGGAAGACGTTGCCATGAATGCCTGGGTGAAACTGAGCGTCTCCGTGTGTGTGGACACCATTAAGTGCTAAGTTGGTCGACACAATAAACTGTGAACAAGGAGACAAACAGACTGATGTTTGAGCGACATGCTTCTATCTTGCTGGCACTGCCATTTTGCTCTATCCCAGGTCTCCTGTAAGGTCTCGTGAGTGAGTGAGTGAGTGGGTAGGGTTTAACGCCGCTTTAAACAGTATTCCAGTTTTATCACGGCGTGTCAGCTTAATGTGGGAGGAAAGCCCGAAGTGATGCAGGTCTAAGACGTTTACCACTTCGGTGAAACCTACGAGCACGGGTATGGTGCTGACAAACCTAGAAACAAAAATAGGGCGAACCGGGATTCGAACCCACAATCATAGGTTTCTGGCGTGCCAAAGGGACGCAACTCTGCTAAGCGAATCGCGGCGCCTTAGACGACTGGGCCACTCGTGCCCCCTTTAAGGTCTCGGTAAGTCCCTTATCTCTGAAGCTGGGACAAACCATGACCGCTGACCAGCTGGCAATATTGACGACCATTACTGGTGAATTGCCATTCAACGCTCTTTTTCAGGGTCATTTACTGGAATTACCATTTCTAGTGTCCCTCGCCGTGATATTGCTGGAAAAGTGCTGAAAGCGGCGTAAAACCATACTCACTCCGATCTATCCGAAGGAGCACAACTCGTCAATTAAATGTTCAACTCGATCCATTTGCCCCTGTTCTATCCTTACCGACCATGGAGGCGGTGTTGATGATGACGCCACCACGACCCCCCTTGTCCTTGCGCATGTGCTCCACGGCTAGTTGGGTTCCAATCACCACCCCGTCCTGGAGTATAGATAGTATACCACATACAGGCGACCTTCACAGATACCACACAGCATTCAGAATACTTCCACAGATACCAAACAAAATACAGAAGACTATCGCTAATACAACTTTTGCTGTATCTTGAATCCAGCTTCTAGGGGAAGAGTGAGTGAGTGAGTTGTGTGTAACGCCGATGTTAACAGTGTTGCAGTCATATCACGGCGTGTCAGCTTAATGTGGGAGGAAAGCCCCAAGTGATGCATGTCTTAGACGTTTACCACTTCGGTGAAACCCACGAGCATGGGTATTGTGCTGATAAACCTAGAAACATAATCGGGGCGAACCGGGATTCGAACCCACAATCATAGGTTTCTGGCGTGCCCAAGGGACGCAACTCTGCAAAGCGAATTGCGGCGCCTGAGACCACCTGTTCCCCTTCCAGGGGAAGAATAGTTCTTAGACTTACTATGCATGAAAAACATGTTCATCTTGACAATTCAGAAGCGAACTGAGTGATGAAGCGGCGATACACCAATTACACTCGCTGAATAAATGAAAACACCAGCGACCCTTACAATATTGACAGAGCACATCATCTTCCATCTCTGCTCGTTGACCAGCCCAGCGTTGTTCAACATCAGATCTATGTGACCATAGTGAGACACGGCGCTCGCGAAGGCATCTGTAATCACGACAAATCATTCATTCCATCTTTATATTGGTGTCCAAATCGATTTTGACTTTACATCCATAAATATAGGGACTGACCATTTGTTTGTCTGAGGAGGTGAGAAGGAAAAAAATAAATTGTCCCAGAAAATTCTTGAAAACACATTCTACAGGCGGTTGAGGAAAAAAATATCTGCTACAAAAATACGTTGCTGCGAAATGTTTTTGTAAACTAATATATTCAGGCTAATAGTTTTGATAAAAAGACATATGGTTTTGCAGCTATAGCTAAAACATATCTTGCCTCCATACAAAATCCTAGCCCAACAACAACCCACAACCCCTCCAGAATATCAAATGAGATGTTTCATTGTTCATATCAAATCACCTGTAACATGTGAATGCCAAATTTGGGGAGTTTTTCAGCGCTCCCACACATTGCAATACGATTACATAATCAGCCTGTTATCAACCCATGCATATTTCTTACCATGTAATACCCACCAAGATGTGTAACGTTTTTTGTTTTGTTTGTTTGTTGTTTAACGCCGCACTCAGTACTATTCCAGCTATATGATGGCGGTCTGTAAATTATAGTCTGGACCAGACAGTCCAGTGATTGACATCATGAGCATCGATCACCATAACTGGGATACGATGACATGCATCATCAACCAAGTCAGCGAGCCTGACCACCCGATCCCGTTAGTCGCCTCTTCCGACAAGCATAGTCGCCTTTTCCGGCAAGCATGGGTTGCTGAAGACCTATTCTAGCCCGGATTTTCACGGGTCAACGTATTATGTGGAATATGGTGATAGCTGACAGTATGTTTTCGCAACATGGTGGCGTAGATAGGTCATCAACCACAAGTCTGACCGACACAGAGTCGAATAGCTACAGACCGTTGTGATATAGCTGGTGAATAGCATTCACTCACTCACCCACGTGCCAAGATAAACAGCCATCAAATATTATCATTTACGAAACAGAGATACATTTTATAAATTATAAAATGAATTTCATAGAAGTAAGTATATTGAGCAAGTTCTATTTTCTATTTCAGAATAGCTTCTTGTGTTGGTGTCTTGGTGTGACTTAGTGTGAATAGACTCGTGACGAGGTATTGACGAGTCATCCACCTATCTACTTACGTATTCGAGGTCACCAGTCGACCTTTGTCACAGTTATCAGATTTCATAGGGCTGGTGTGATGCGACAATCATATGTAATCAATCTGACGCCCACCTCGACCTTACCGTAGTCCTTCCAATAACACAGGGATTTAATAACCATTATCCATTCGGAACTCTCTCATATAATAATTGTCAATATACATTCCGTCCTAAATCATAATAAAACATTAATTGGTTTTGCATTTAATATTTTATTTTGTTTTATTATGGGTGAGGGAGGAAAAGAAAAGCTGAACAAAGATAATTGATATATTGAACATAGCTTTTTGTTTGGAACGCACTTTTCAAACATTATCTAGCACAAAGACACCGTGGTCTTACGTTTTTTTCATTCGCATGTAGACAAATGGCCCTGTAAAGATCGACCTCAAAGCATATCTCTACACTTTAGGGGTGTTATTTCATTTGCACGGCGCGGACTACTGTAATCTAAGTCATATGAGGTATGTACTTTCCTATGAGTGAATCTCTGGAAGTCACTGGTATTATGAACACATTCACACAAATACCGTTGTTGGTTTCGGTAAAGAATACTTTCGCTCTAGCGATCAAGTCTATGTTAAAGTGTGGTAGATCTATGAAAAGGTATGGTCCAGGCACTATGCGGACTAAAATCGGATTTTTTCGAAACTTATTTGAAAATGTGTTTGGGCAGATTCGTGGTTAGGCTTAAAGTACACATAGCCTTTATATCAGGGTGGTTGGTAGGACTTGTTTAACTAACACAGATAAAGTCTAAGTACACACAGACTCTTGTACCAGCAAACCATTGAAGGGTGTTTGCAATGGGATTACCCGACGACAGGTCAAAGAGAGAGAATCAGAGAGAGGCACAGAGAGAGAGACACACAGAGAGAGAGAGAGACACACACACATAGAGAGTGAGAGAGAGAGAGAGAGAAAGAGAGAGCGTGACAGTTCCAGTGAGAGAGAATGATTGTGGGACACCCACACCACTGCCGAGACGTGTATTCCCCTTCCACGCGTTGAGAACGCATGGTGAACGCTGGTGACATGGGTGCTGCACGGGCTGTATGAGAGTTGGGAGTGGGGGGGGGGGGGGGGGGGGGGGGGGCACTGTTACATAGTTAGAGCGGCAGAGACACCTACTGTAGTAGATACGGATAGAGAGAGTGTGTGAGAATGTCAGCTGAAAAGACTTCTGTAAAGCCGTATCTCTTTATGAGGATGCCACCCCCTATCCCCTGGATTTTGAATGCCATCTAATTTTTCACTCTGAGTCTCATATACTCACCCCTAAATCACGACTAATATTTAACACAAATTTCAAAGCACACCTCAGAATTCATTCTACAAAGGCAGAACGTAAACCAACAGAACACGCGGTTTACTTTGTGTCTTTGCATAACATCGTTTGTAAACGATGACTTTTACGCGACGTAGGCTTGGTTGGTTTGTTGGTTTGTTTGTTTTACGCTGCACTCAGCAATATTCCAAAGACATGAGCATCGATCCACGCAATTGGGATCGATGACATGCTTCAACCAAGTCCGCGAGCCTGACCGCCCGATCCTGTTAGTCGCCTCTTACGACAAGCATGGGTTGCTGAAGACCTATTCTACCCCGGATCGTCACGGGTCGCGACGTAGGCATCACCCTGGGCACAAATTGCGCTTCCCTTGTTGCTGATTTGTTTCTTTGTGAATATAAATATAGCGTTGTGTCAAACCATGTCAGCGAATGGGGCCATGGTCGCGATCACTAAGATTAAACGCCTGTATATGGCAAAGGTTATCATTTTATCAACATGCATGCAGCTGAGCCTATGATTTGACGCATGTCGTTACAGTAAGTGCAAGTTAACACCATACCTACCTTTAAAAGACTGTTCGTCGGCAACGTTACATTTGACAAAGAATACCCTGCCGTCTCCGTACGCCTTTTTGAAGTCCCCCGCAGTTGCCTCCCCTTGCTCCACGGCGACGTCAGCTAAGGCAACCTGTTCGACGGTAGTTACACAGTACATGAACTTCATGGTGTATACATTTAACAAAAAAAAACCAAAAAAAACCAAAAAAGTTTTCACTTTAGTCATAAAGCGCGTCGACGTCTCCTTGATGTCTTTTCTTTAAGTATTTACATGTTTACAATTTTTAAGTCAGATATTTATGTTCAATACTTGCTCGTGATTGTTTGTTAGGAATCAAAATGTAACAGAAGATTCAGAGGGATTCTTCTGAGGAAATAGTCATGGCCACCCACAGAAGAATAAACTACGGTAAAAAGCCATGGACTAATTCTTGTACCATTAAGCATCACTGTATAACCGTACATACAGAGGATAAGTGTCACCCAGTCTTTTAAAACGGCGCAAATCGCCGCAGAGTTGCTTCGCCGAGATAACCCAGAATCCTACCGGGTCACAGTCTTCATCTTCACTATGATTCTTGGTTTGTCATTATGGTGGGTCGGAGTCCTGCATAATTCCGGGCTTTCTTTCCACAATACTCTCTCCCGCCGTGATATATATAAAATACTGTTTATAGCGGTGTCAAAATCCATTTTGACGAGACCGCCTCCATGGTCTGGGGTTCGATCATACCAAAAGACGTTAAAAAACTGTACTTGTTGTTACCCTGTCTGGCGCTCGGCATTGTTTTAACAAGGACTGGTCGGCTCGGAGTCAGTATACTGTGTCTGAGTGGGGTATTCATGTTAAACTGCGGCATGGTATCTCAGTGAGCTAGCACTATAAATCGGCATCAGTCCGGACATGTAAAAGCAGCTACACACGTGCATGCACGTCTCCATATAAGTGAGATAATCTTAGACGCGACGTTAAACCCAATTTCACCCCACCTCACCATTTTGACGTAGCTCGTATAGGTGCTTAATGCGTACCATGTTTAGTACTATCAGCCCGCAAAGGGAAGCAACGGCGATATGACCGCTGGGCCAACTTCAAGGGTGTAAGAAATTTAATTTCTATTTTGTGCTTCGGCTTGAACAAAAGTGATGATGAATATAAAACGTCAAAGCCAAAGAATAATCTTTCTTAATTATCTGCCGAGACAGATTCCAATGGGCGTAAAAGACAAACTAGTGATGAAAAGTAAGATCACAATTGAACGCTGATCTCAGTGTCTTTAACAACATAATTATAATTATAAATACCAGTTGGTGATATGTTTTACAGTAAGCTTCGGTTATAACGAACACGCTTATAACGAACTGACGGATATAACGAACTTACTTTTTAGTCCCGACTATTTGCTGCGGTTATGCTGTATATATGCTATCGAACTACGGTTATAACGAACTATAATTAGTAGTCCCTTTGAGTTCGTTATAACCGTAGTTTACTGTATTGCCAATATAATAACGAGGTAGCTGTTAACAATATGAACCATACATTCACCACTTTAACAAAATGTGATAAATCAAGGAAACCGATTCATAATTAATTCTTACATAATACTAGAAGATCAGTGATTATTAACTTTCGTTTAGTAACGAAAATTAATTTTACTTGGGATCAAACACTGAATTATCATAAAAGAATTTTACTTAATTGGATAAAACATTAATCTCGCAAGGAAAATGTATTGACCCAACCTTAGCTCCTTCTTTGAGAAGGGCTTCTGCCACGTTCTTTCCAACCCCCATGGCCGCACCCGTGATAAAAGCAACGGAGCCTTCGATCTTCATGTTGTGTTGCTGGTAGAGAGATGACTGTGAGGACACAACAATCTGCCTCTTGTTGTACAGGTAATTTGTGTCGCTCAAACTCCACACACGTTCTCCCGTTATCAATCTTATGTAAATGCTGATTTAGGTCAAGATACTGTCGATGTGTTTCTTTACGCAGGAGCGCTTATATAACTGGTATATTTCAAAATGGGCAAGGGGCGGTCGGGTAGCCTAGTGGTTAAAGCGTTCGCTCGTCACGCCGAAGACCCGGGTTCGATTCCCGACATGGGTACAATGTGTGAAGCCCTTTTCTGGTGTCCCCCGCCGTGATATTGCTGGAATATTGCTAAAAGCGGCGTAAAACCATACTCACTCACTCACTCACTCAAAATGGGCAAGACATAGGAAGAGACTTTGTCCCACTAGAAAAAAATCCATGTTGAAAGTCCAAAGCGCATGTATAATGTCTCGTCCATTAAAGATCTTGCCACCGGGAATAAAAATGGGAATAATGACGAACACATTTATTTAAAAAAGAAACTTATGTCCGGAATTGACAAACCACAATGTTGGCCAAACTCTCCAAGTAAGACTAGTAACTCTGTTGGTAGTCTATCAATTCCCCATACCTCCAGAAATAATGCAGATTTGAGTGTTTAATTCGTCTTGTCAACATGAACACGCACACAGTGTGTGTGTGTGTGTGTGTGTGTGTGTGTGTGTGTGTGTGTGTGTGAGTGTGTGTTCGATATTGACCTGATCATGTTTCAGTTATGTGACCTAGGGGGAACGGGGGGCAGTCGTCCAGGTCACCGCAAGTCACTTCACAGAGTTGCGTTCTTTGGGTACGAGACCGCCTCCGTGGTCTAATGGTAGAGCGTCCGCCCGGAGAGCGGAAGGTCCGGGGTTTGATCCCCGGCCGCGTCATACCAAAAGACGTTAAAAGATGGTACTTGTTGTTACCCCGTCTGGCGCTCGGCATTAAGGGGCTAAAACAAGGTCTAGTCGGCTCGGAGTCAGTATACTGTGTCTGAGTGGGATATTCATGTTAAACTGCGGCATGGTATGTCAGTGAGCTAGCACTATAAATCGGCATCAGTCCGGACTAGTACAAGCAGCCACACAAACACACACACGTACATGCACGTCGCTATATAAGTGCAATAATCTTGGACGCGACGTTAAACCCCATTTCACCCCACCTCACCTTCTTTGGGTACGCCAGGAACCTATATATGTCTGTGGATTATGTTTCTAGGTTTGTCAGCACCATACCCGTGCTCGTGGGTTTCACCAAAGTTGTAAACGTCTGAGACCTGCATCGCATCCTACCACAAATTAACTGACACGTCGTCATATAGCTGAAATAGCGCTGAAAGCGGCGTTAAACCAAACTCACTCTCCAGTGACCTGGAAAACTGAGTTAGAATAGATCTTCTACAACCCATGCTTGCCGTAAAAGGCGACTATGTTTGTCGTAAGAGAAGACTGACGGGATAGGGTGGTCAGGCTCGCTGACTTGGTTGATAGATATCATCGTATTCCAGTTGCGTAGATCGATGCGCATGATGTCAATCACCGGATTGTGTGGTCCAGATTTGTTTAAATTACAGTTTCAGCTGGAATATTGCTGAGTGCGGCGTTAAACAACAAATAAACAAACAAAAGTGACCAGTCACGTAATCAATATGGCGTCTACGGCTGCCAATACACAGTCCCCGATGTTTCTGAAGATCGATCACAGGGACAGCTGGAAGACCAGGAGGGGTCGGGTCCTCGGGTCCTCGTGTCCTCGGGTCCTCGGGTCCTTTTTTTTGCACAACGACCTATCCCTGTTTATCAGTGGTATGTTAATACACGGCACAGATCAGTCTGTGCAAAATCAAGGTGCATTTGTGTTATCTTTGAAGACCTTGAACAAGGGTATTAAGGTTATTGTCGATATCATCACTATTTGATAGTGACTCCAAAACACATGCTTATGATAAGATATGATATTGTCGGAATCGTAGAAAAATATTACTTTTGCCATGAAGAAAGAACGGAAACGCGTGGCAGTGTGTTATTTTCACGAATACACCCTTTTGAGGTCTTAATTTGACATTAATAATTCCACGCTGACGAGGAACCAACCCGCAAACACAACCATCTACACCTGTGTGGAAACGAAACAAGCGGTTGCACGTGCAGTCCGACATGTCACGGTGACAATACTTGTACGAGGTGAACAAATGGAAAGGTTCATATTGATATGGTGTTTCAGCTATTTGGCTGAAATTGTTTGTGGAGAAATAAACCACGTTCAGAACAATAAAGTGACGTCACAACAATGCGGTGTGATTATGGAAAGGATTTTGTCGCTTTTATTTAGTGAGCTTGGAGCGTAACTGTCAGTATTCAAAGTTCACAATGACCAGTATGTGAGGGACATATCAAGGTGTGCACGATAATGACATGACCTTACACAGATTTCCTGACGAGGCATTCACACATCCGCTTTGTACATATTCACGGTCAACACCTTGACCCATATTAAGCATGCTTGACCCCAATCGGCAACCCCATCCCTTTCCTTAACCGCAAAGATGACTGTGGGAAATGGGGCAACGTGTGGCCATGCAGTGAGCAGGCCCCTGCAATAACACGCTCGCGGATGTACATTTCTGAGGTGCATTAACTTTTTATGCACTCTTATATGCGCCTTGTTACTTTTTTAAAAGTTTTTATCCTAAAGTCACTAGTGGAATCAGGTTCCGGTGCATCACTGACTATCATGAGGACAAAATAAACAAAAACGCAAACAAAGAACGAAGAATTCAGCATCGTGTACAACCACAATTAGCTGTGACACTCCCTTGACAACGAGCCTTATTGACTGAGGAAGGCTTGCGGGATGTCATTCCAGATTTGGGCCCACTTGCACAAAGCGATCTTAGCGCTAAGACTATCTTAAGCCTATGTTAAAGTATGAGTGTTACGATCATCCTAGACCATAGACTGTTGCAACTGGACCAACACTATCTGTTGGTTTGGAAGTCCGTGTAAGAGACGTTTCATTTTATCCCACAAATGGTCAAAGGGCGACAACCTAAGGAAACTGCAGCCCAAAGGACGTCGATAAACACGCTGACGGACATCAGTGATGTCAAGATGAAGCCTTGACATATCTGTGAAGAGGACTAACCTTCAGTCCTACAACCTAAACCTCAGATGCAGGCGTGCAGTTCGATGACGTGGCAGCAAAGCTGGACGTACAGCAAAACGTCGTTGGCCCACTTGCACAAAGCGATCTTAGCGCTAAGATGATCATAACTCCCATACTTTAACATATGCTTACAATAGTCTTAGCACTAAGATCGCTTTGTGCAAGTGGTTCGTGGTGGCATGTTATACTCTCGTACTCGGTACCCAACAGTCCTTCCACTAATCGGACGTAAATGTAAAACGTCAGAGAATAATCAGTCACGATAACCAGACGAAACAGATTCCATTGGGCGTGACCCGTGAAGATCCGGGGTAGAATAGGTCTTCACCAACCGATGCTTGCCGTAAAAGGCGACTTTGCTTGTCGTAAGAGGCGACTAACGGGATCGGGTGGTCAGGCTCGCTGACTTGGTTGATGCAGATCCCAATTGCGTAGATCGATGCTCATGATATCAATCACTAGACTGTCTGGTTCAGACTCGATTATTTACAGACCGCCGTCATATAGATGCAATAAACAAACCAACATTGGGCGTGAAAACAAAATAGCGGTGGTAAATACTATGTGCATGGATCACTGAATATCAGTGATGGCATCAAGTGTTCGCAGAAAGGGTGGACCGCCTCCGTGGTCTGGTGGTAGAGCGTCCGCCCGGAGAGCGGAAGGTCCGGGGTTTGATCCCCGGCCGCGTCATACGTCAAAAGACGTTAAAAGATGGTACTTGTTGTTACCCTGTCTGGCGCTCGGCATTAAGGGGCTAAAACAAGGACTGGTCGGCTCGGAGTCAGTATACTGTGTCTGAGTGGGGTATTCATGTTAAACTGCGGCATGGTATCTCAGTGAGCTAGCACTATAAATCGGCATCAGTCCGGACTAGTGCAAGCAGCCACACAAACACACACACGTACATGCACGTCGCTATATAAGTGTAATAATCTTGGACGCGACGTTAAACCCCATTTCACCTCACCTCGCAGAAAGGGTAAGCCTGTCCTGCCCTACCTGTACCAACCGCCGGGGATGCTGCTAACCAACAATGTTAAGTATTAGACACAATGTCATCGAGTGGTCTTACCTATCTAGTTAAAAGTGACAAAACCCTTTCCATATTCATAAGATATCCCAATTGTACGATTCCGAGTATATCAAGATCATGTGTTTATGAATCACTAGCAAATAGTGATGATACCAGGTGTTCGCGAAAACTTGAGCGTATCCTGCCCCACACATGCAAAGGCAAGCCACTGCTCACCTGATATAACACGGGCACATATGGAACAAGGCAAAATAGGGAATTGTATCGGACATAATTGTTGTCACTGTTGGGTCAAATTTGGAAATGTCCCCCACATGTCTACCATAAAACCTTTTGAAAGCTTAACCGAAGCCTTGAATTCTGAAATTTTATTCAAACAACTTCTGAGCAAGAGTCGTATGACACTTTTGGAAATTTGGTAGAAAGAGGATGCTCGATTGTACCAAGAAAGTTGTGAAATGTAGACACTGAAGTGTTATAAAATATTGCTCGACATAAAGGGAAAGTTGATACAGTTTTGTGGAGAGTAAACCATGGCTGTTATTCAAAGAACCTTGATACCTAAATTGTCTAAAACATTTTTTTGATAACCGTATTTTAAAATTTATTTAAGAGATATATCCGTAACCGTCAGGACGATGTTTGAATGGCCCCTGAGTGTGGCCCCTGAGTGTGGTCCCTGAGTGTGGCCCCTGAGTGTGGTCCATTAGTGTGGCCCCTGAGTGTGGTCCCTGAGTGTGGTCCCTGAGTGTGGTCCCTGAGTGTGGCCCCTGAGTGTGGTCCCTTAGTGTGGCCCCTGAGTGTGGTCCTTGAGTGTGGTCCCTGAGTGTGGCCCCTGAGTGTGGTCCTTGAGTGTGGTCCCTTAGTGTGGCCCCTGAGTGTGGTCCTTGAGTGTGGTCCCTTAGTGTGGCCCCTGAGTGTGGTCCTTGAGTGTGGTCCCTTAGTGTGGGCCCTGAGTGTGGTCCCTGAGTGTGGTCCTTGAGTGTGGTCCCTGAGTGTAGTCCCTGAGTGTGGCCCCTGAGTGTGGTCCCTGAGTGTGGTCCCTGAGTGTGGTCCCTGAGTGTGGTCCCTGAGTGTGGTCCCTTATTGTGGCCCCTGAGTGTGGTCCCTGAGTGTGGTCCCTGAGTGTGGCCCCTGAGTGTGGTCCCTGAGTGTGGTCCCTGAGTGTGGTCCCTGAGTGTGGCCCCTTAGTGTGGTCCCTGAGTGTGGCCCCTGAGTGTGGTCCCTGAGTGTGGTCCTTGAGTGTGGTCCCTGAGTGTGGCCCCTGAGTGTGGTCCCTGAGTGTGGCCTCTGAGTGTGGCCCCTGAGTGTGGCCCCTGAGTGTGGTCCCTGAGTGTGCTCCCTGAGACTTTTGCACAAATTCGAGAACAGAACTGACGATGCTTCGGGTAAGTTTTGTTTGTTCTGTTTTGTTTCTTTATTGTTTAACGCCGCACTCCAACTTTATGACGGTGGTCCATCTATAATCGAGTCTGGACCAGACAATCCAGTGATTGATACCATGAGCATCGATCTACGCAATACGATGACACACATTTAACAAGTCAGCGATCCTGACCAACTGCTCCCGTTAGTTGCCACTTACGACATGCATAGTTGCCTCTTACGGCAAGCATTGGTTGCTGAAGACCTATTGTAACAAGGATCATCAAGGGTCGCTTCTGGTAAGAATCCGGTAAATGGGGATGCGTATTTTTAAAAGATATTCATGAAACGTATTCTCCTGTCATTGTTGTAGGGATATGTTTGTTTGTTTATTTGTTTAACGCCTCGCTCAGCAATATTCAAGCTATATGGCGGCGGTCTGTAAATAATCGAGTCTGGATCAGACAATCCAGTGATTGACATCATGAGCATCGATCCACGCGTTTGGGATACGATGACATGCATCAACCAAGTCAGCGAGCCTGACCACCCGAATCCCGTTAGTCGTCTCTTACGACAAGCAAAGTCGCCTCTAAGGGCAAGCATGGGTTCTGACGACCTATTCTACCCCGGATCTTCACGGGTCTGTAGCGAAATGTCTATTAGTTCCATAAACGCTGGAATGTGTATATACTTCCATACATTAAACGATATTGCGCCCAACATCAATAACCGCCAATATGCGCTGAAACAGTAAATCCTTCCTTTAGGACACTTTCGAACAATAACGCATTTACGGGGCATGCTTCAATTTGATCATACAAAAACGGACATGTCTTTGTGTAATAACTAAATAAAAATCTTATAATTGTAATGACCGTTATAAAAATCCATAACAAATAAACATCTCTTTATGAGCAATACATTGGTTTTATTGAGGACACATATACAATGTCGAAACTGATTACAATGTACACATCATGAAAATTCTTCAATCTGTTTCAACCCATATGACGTCAGCCTATTGCATCAGTCACTGCAGATGCACAGGTTTTTCTGCAGTGACGTCATACAGGCATGACTCATAGGGATAAAACACGGAATAATTTATCATGATGTTCAATAAGATCCCTAATAAACAAAACATAATCGGGGCAAACAGGGATTCGAACCCACAATCATAGGTTCTTGCACAGCGAATCGCGGCGCCTTAGACGACTGGGCCACCCGTGCCCCCGAATCGCATGTAAACTACCCGTATATACTTGCTTGTCATTCTGAAAACTTATAATTGATATTTCACTCACATATTTCAGCCTCAATGGCACTATGACGACGACATGCATATAAACGACTCCAGATAATGACCAGTCTTGAAACAGATTCCATTGAGCGTAAAAGGCAAAATAGCGTTGAAAATAATATGAATGGATCACTGAGAATCGGTGACGACATGAAGGTGTTCTCTGAGTATGCATAAGTCGTCTTTTACAAAAGAAGTTAACAGGTTAACATTATCTGATGGGTTCTTATGTTCAGTGGCAAAGACATTAACTACTTTCTTTTTAAACACACCTTCGAAACATTAATACGTCTACTTTCAATAAGTGATCATTGTATCATTTATGCGCGTAGTAGGGTTGCCAGCGTTGCGATTATAGTAGACGAGTGAGGTTCCTTTAATGATATATTAGAAAAGCATAAATTGTTCTAACTTCAGCACTGTTTATCTGTGGAGCCTCTGTATGACGCCAACCACTGCTCTACTTCCTCTAACTTGTAGAACTCTGGCCCTCTTCCTCCCTCATACACTATGACGCCATCTTGGATTATGTACAGCCGCTCAAAGTAGCCGCCATACTGGATGTTGGCGGTGTTTTCAATATTATCCACGACGACAGGGCAGACCGGATTCTTCTCAGCCAAAATCATTGCAGCCTTGCGGCGGTCTTCCAGCGTCTTATGAGAGGCAATCTGAACATTGTACTCGAAGCGCCAACCATCGGAAGCATGCGCCTCTTCTATATAAATGATCAAAAAATCTGCGATGCTGGCAAATTCTGACGCCACAGCGTTGTAGCGCTTGAATTTGCTCATGAACGGTCGTCAGGTGCAGCTCCCAAAGTTGACCACCAGAGGGCGCCCTTGTCTCTGAAAATCCAGCAGACGATAGATCTGGTTTCCTTTAAGAGAGTGCAACTGAGGATTGGGGGCAAGATTGTGGAGGGAAGCGTCCTTGTACAAGTCAAGATACGCTGCACGGAACAAAGCTTTGTAGTGGCTCAGCGTTAGAACAGAACGATCGTAGTCTTTGGCAAGGTCTTCACTGGTGGCTCCCTCTCTCGTGGTTTTTGCGAGAACAACGGATCGTTTAGGTTTCATGAAAACCCGTCTGAAGATGGTGGATACAAGGTGGAAGCAGAGCTGGAGTATTATTCCCAGCAAGCGGTACAGCAACACCACCCGTCTTCCTACGCCCATCTTGCTGAAAGTAAAACAACACATTTGGTGGAACTGTGTATATGTCCAATCAAAAACGATCATAACGATTACATCTGAGTGAGTGAGTATGGTTTTACGCCGCTTTTAGCAATATTCCAGCAATATCTGAAATCGGCTTCACACATTGTACCCATGTGGGGAATCGAACCCAGGCCTTCGGCGTGACGAGCGAACGCTTTAACCACTAGGCTGCCCCACCGCCCGATTACATCTGACACAACATTGACTTATTGTCTTGATAAGAAGAGGGCGGCCGGGTAGCCTAGTGGTTGAAGCGTTCGCTCGTCACGCCGAAGACCCGGGATCGATTCCCGACATGGGTACAATGTGTGAAGCCCATTTCTGGTGTCCCCCGCCGCGATATTGCTGGAATATTGCTAAAAGCGGCGTAAAACCATACTCACTCACTTGATTAGAAGCAATTTTACTGACCCCTGCAGAAAATAGCAATCTTCAAAATGGGTACCCTTATTATTTTCCATCAGTAGATGGACTGTAGGATAGCCAAGCGGATAAGGCTTTTTTCTCGTCACACCTTACTAGCAGTCCCGGGATCGATTCCCAACTGAGTACAATGTCTGAATCTCATGATGGTATCCCTCGCCATCATGTTCCTGGAATATGGCTTTAAACAGCAGTGAAATATACCTTGACCTTATATGTGTATGTTGTCACTTCATTCGTCATCCCGTTTTGGTGACGTCATAACTTCATTGATGTCACAGTGTGCTCATACCCAGGTGGTAACTGACTACGTCCATTATGTCAGTTTTTCTTTGAACTTGTGAAATATATTGCAAGTTAATTGTATGTTATGAAATATAACTCAATAACAGGGGCTAACGGGTGTTGATAACATGCACTGTGTTTAAACGCACAGTTTACAACAAACAAGCTTAAGGTGAGGTGAAATGGGGTTTAACGTCGCGTCCAAGATTATTGCCCTTAAATACAGACGTGCATGTACGTGTGTGTGTTTGTGTGGCTGCTTGTACTAGTCTGGACTGATGCCGATTTATAGTGCTAGCTCACTGAGATACCATGCCGCAGTTTAACATGAATACCCCACTCAGACACAGTATACTGACTCCGAGCCGACCAGTCCTTGTTTTAGCCCCTTAATGCCGAGCGCCAGACAGGGTAACAACAAGTACCATATTTAAACGTCTTTTGGTATGACGCGGCCGGGAATCGAACCCCGGACGCTCTACCACTAGACCACGGAGGAGGTCTACAACAAACAAATATAGATGACATATATAACAAACACATATATATGTGATGTTTAAAGGTGTGGAATTCAAACATCAAAAATAACTCTATAAACACCCACTGCAAAAGGAAAACAAAGCTACCTGAAAAAGACGACCATCAAGAGTATGTCTATTGCAACAAATACACACGTGGCCATTCACGTGACGAGGTATCACAAGGTCAAGTAACATATTTCAGGACATGACAATAGACATATAGCTGTTAAAGCGAAACGATATACTGCCCATTCTCCTGCGTTAAAAGACCCGAAAGTGACGATGTGTCAAAGGTCTTAGACGATTGGGCCACCCGTGCCCCCGGACATGACAATAGAAATACAAGTGTTAAATCGAAAAAACATACTGCCCATTCACCTCCGTGAAAGACCCGTTAAAGGTGAAAGCCGGTTACTGACTCGGAACGACAGTACCTCTTTATACTGAATGTGTTGTTAAATCTAAGAATCTTTTAGATGAACCTGATATCGACAAACTTTGTTTTAAATTCAATGATGCCTGTGTGTGACAAAGTCTGCTTTTTAATTCTTAATCGTAGAAAACATCTTTTATATGGATAACATTTTACTGTGTCATCCTTACAGCATAACTGAGCGAATTTTATGATAAGTTGTCTCTAATAATTCTTATCTTATGATTCATGTAAGTTGAGGCATTGGATGATGGTATTCCAGGTGAATCACAGCGGCGTGTTAATAATAATCGAGCCTGTTCAAGGTTGAATGAAAGCATGTGGCATCTGGGTTCGATGCACAGGAACTCGATGATTGCGTGTATAACATAATATATTCGTAAAGAAAAAAATCACACCCCTCTATACCCTCGCGACACGTGTTTCCGTGGTATTAAGAATAGCATTACGATAAACCAACCCGCTGACTTCGACAAGCAATAAATGTGAAATAAATCGTTAGAACACTCACCTTTACACCATTTAATAACAAGGAAACATCATTTTGTCCACAAATGCCTCCGTATCGGCTGCTGTACAATAGCGGCCATTTTTACACAACATGTAGTGACGTCATATGTTTCCGTGGTAAAGTTCATCGGGTCAAGCTACGGGTGGTTAGCACACGCCACAATGTCAAAGTTCTTTGGAATCGAAAGTAATGTTCCCAAGGCACTTCCAAACGTAACAAAATACAGATAACACTGTACTGAATTATGAAATATGAAATAACTGTCACTTGAACACAAATTTTCAGATTATTTACAGTTTATGATCATGATCATCACAAATGTCGTTATTCTTCTTGGTGTCTGCAAGGTAGACCGTGACACGGACAGAAAAACACATCATGTCGACGAAGAAAGGAGATGTCACAACAGTATTTTAAATGCACCCAGTGTTCACAATTCCCATGCATGCACTGTCCCCACTTAGTGAATTCAACATGTTGACATCGCCTCAGTTCAACTGGCTGAAACTTTCCGCATACACAACACTTGTCGTCAACATCGTTGATAGATTCAGAATCTGATTGATCGTCGCTTGAGATAAGGAGCTTATCAATCCCAGATGGTCCAGGTTGTTGGGATGACATACTGTCCTGCTTATCCTTGCTAGTAGACTTGGTAGTTGGTTTAGTTGTCTTTGGCTTCACAGTTGATTTTGATGCCTTGCTTCCTCCGTTTGTTGACTGTTTGGACTGGTTGATGTAAGCCGTGATTTGACATGATATATCTGGTTCCGTAATTGCTTGTCCACCAACGATCTTATGGATAGAACGTCTGGGCTTCGATTTTGTTATGGTAATAACAGGAAGATGATCTTCAAAAAATCTTGAATCTGAGGGCTGTTCAACGATGTCAGGACATGTAACTGAAATTTCTGCAGCTTTTTCCAACTGTTGATTGGCAAACGTAGATGGCTTCAGGAATGACTTGTCAATTGCCGTTGGGTCAAATGGATAAATACCACATTTCCTGAAAGCACTGTGCAAGTTACTGGCAGACAGAGAAATCTCGTATGTCTTACAGGCCAAAGAACAGACGCTATATCGGTTAACTGTTCCAGAATTTGACCGCTGCCATTTCCTACATTCTGAACTGAAAATCTTGGTGAAAGGCCCAAAGCACCCAACATCCATCGGCTGGAGAACATGGCTTGTGTGAGGTGGTAGAACAAACAGGATTATCCCCTGGTCAACAGCGTAATCTATCAGATGAGGGGTGATGTGAGACCTGTGGCCGTCATATAGCAGCAGAGCTTTCTTGTCACCTCCGACTTTGGCATATTTCACAAAATGGCCTGTCAACCATCGCTGAAATATGTCTGTATTGGACCATCCCGTCTCGCTAACAGTTCCACAAGTTCCAACTGTCGAACCATCTAAGAGGTCATCGCGCATGCGTGAACCAGGAAAAATGAAAAAAGGTGGAATCTTCTGACCCAATGCATTGCCGCATCCCAAAACAGTAACTGTAGAGGATTTCTCTGGGCAGATTTCAATTGGAACTTCCTCTGCAGATCCAACGATTTGCGGTGAAGAATGTGTGAGATTAATTCCCTTCTCATCGACGTTGTAGATCAGCTCTGGGCTTGACTTTAGGTCATACCTGTCAAGAACTGCTTCAAGTTGAGAAAAATACTTGTTAATGCTCTCCTCAGATGTGGCAGTGGCTCGTAATTGAGACAATCCCCTTGGTCGTCGCAACTTCAGTTCAGGCCATCTTCCCATCAACCCATAAAACCACTGCAGTGATAGTGATTTGGAATCATTACTACGTTTCTTGAGATTTATGGCATAGTCAGTTCCAAGACAGATAACCTGCGCCCTGGTATATCCATACCCTACTGAGGCCATAAGCTTTATGTGGTCGACAAGGCGTGCTTCTTCTTCTTGGGAAAATAATGGCCCTGGTCCAGAGGTCAAACATTCTGGGGAAGTAATGCCTTTAGTTCTGTCCCTCAGAGTCTGGTCAGGCACAGAGTACTTCCTGGCTGCTTTGTAGACAGAAGAACCTCGTTCAACTACTTCATGATATGCTCCTTTCAGTTGTGTTGGACTATAAGGCCGGTACTGTCGTTTGCGTCTCGCAGGATTATCCTACAAACCACGATAAACGATATAAGATATGGCCCTACTCAGCTTCCATAGTTTTAAAAATTGAGCGGGTATTCCCCTTAGTAGTCACGTGATACACATTACTGTTTACATCAGCTAGCAGACGAACTTCTCTTGCTGAACTTACGAGTTGAATATTTTTTACGATCTCATTTTTTATAATGGTACAAAAAGTGCATTACGTACAGAAGGTTAGTTTTAGTTAGTTTATCGTAATATAAAGCTGTACTTACGCAAATAGATGCAATTCTGAACATTTTTCGCTCGGAGCTGTCACGATCGAGTTGTCAATGTAAACAATCGCTAGGGGGCGCAAATCCGTGCGAGGTGCGCGAGAAATGACGTCATAAAAGAATACCACGGATTGGTGAGTACCACGGATTGATGTGTCGGCACGATGTACATAGAGACAAGGAGTGACACCCGCCATCTTGGTTCTTATTCAAGATTTCGCACTCGGTTCGAATCATAGCTCGATATCGCATGAAATATGAATGTCACTTATTTCAACCTATTGGCACCTGCTAAACAAACCATAGGCTATACAATCATGTTCATCTGTGGTCACCTTACCTCGTATTCATTTTAAAACAACAATCAAATGTCAGCTCTATGCTGCGCCGCTGAGGTAAACAAGAAAAAGGTGGCCGGAAATTACGGCGCTTGAACTCAGCAAACGTTTCTGATTGGTTAAAATGTGTATCACAATATTAGCACATGGTGAAGGGAGGGAAATTCAAGACCGCCAATGATAATCTGCTTCGAAATGTTTAATTATGCTGTAGATTTCCTTGTCAACCCCAACATTATGCAAGCAGGCCTACCATTGACGGTTTTGAATTTCCCTCCTTTCACTGTGTGCTAATATTTCGATCCACTATTTTTTATTTTAGCCAATCAGAAACGTTTGGCGAGTTCAAGCCCGTGAAGCGCCGTTGTTTCCGGCCACCTTTTTCTTGTTTAACTCGGCGGCGAAGCTTAGGGTTGAGATTTGATGGTTGTTTTAAAATAAATACGAGGTAAGGTGACCACAGATAAACACGATTGTGTTGCCTGATGTTTGTTTATCAAGTTCCAATAGGTTGAAATAAGTGACATTCATATTTCATGCGATAATGAGCTATGATTTGAACCGCGTGCGAAATCTTGAATATAAGAACCAAGATGGCGGGTGTCACCCCTTGTCTCTATGTACATGTATATACAGTCTGGAAGTTAATTTAAGGTACCGACGTTTACTACAATATCTGAAAAACCATTGGACCTACTCTAGTCAAAGTTGGTATGAGATTATTAAACAGTCATACATAACTGGATATTACATTTAAAGGCAATCGGTGCATGAATAAAAAATCTGTCTATTTAGCTATCACTATATTTCATCAACAACCAGACCTGTTCGTCACGGGTGGAACGAGCATTCATTGTAACAGCCATCTGCATAATGCTACTCCTGCGTCACAGGGCCATATGACCGTTGCACGGGAAGCACGCACGCACGAATACGGTGTTAGCGTTGGATCGTCTCAAGCAGTTATTTAATAATATTTATCATTTAACTTAAGCATTTATCCATGACATAAGCTTATGACATAAAAACATGTATGTCATACCCCAATGACATAAGTATGCAAATTAGATATGCAAATTAGATAACCGGAAGAGCGAGCGGTTGATTTGAAACTATATATTATAAGTGAAGTTACACCAGAGATATAATCAGATTACACAGAATCGTTGTTGTTACCGTTATTAAAGTTTCAATTATTCTGCAAAAGTCTGTTCAAGTATTTTGTTTAAAATAATCCGAGGAACTTTTTTTCTCAGCGAATTGTTTATTTTGGTTTACATGGCTATGGAAAACATGTATCACTACGCACGATCTATACGTAAGATTTCGACAAGTTGCTGATGTTAATGTTTAATGCAATTATCCCTTAATTTGGAAGCAACAATGTGAAAATGATAAATAGAATTCATCACTCGTGTTTTTTAATATGGGAAATATCAACCTCGTCCCGTTAATCGGTATTTGCCTCGCCAAAGGCTCGGCAAATACCGATTAACTAAAGACTCGGTTGATATTTCTCATATTAAAAAACACTCGTGATGAATCCTCTATTTATCCAATTATTTTTGCATTTTCTTCAGGTCAGTGTTATTGACTTGAATGTATCATTACTTGCCACATTATTATATTTCATGCATCATGTTATTCGGTGTAATATATCATACGTAATTATTCATTTAGACAAATCATTTTTTATGGTTTCGAAGAAAATATTTTAATATTTTCGTAGATGATTCGAGACTTTCGGGGCTGTTTCGGGTGAAAGAGAATCAAATTTTGAGCCAAGAATTGCACAAAGTGGACAAGATCCGATTACGACATGTACTACAAAGCACGAACCTGAAATTCGTAGACGATTCCTAGAAATTCTTTGATAAACACATTTTTTCTCACGAATCCCACGAACTACAAGAATGTTTGGGAATCAAATAAGATATATTTAAGATTCTTAAGAAATGGTTAAGAATATGTTCATATCCGTGGTAATTCGGGCTATTACATGTCGTAGTGAAACGGGGGTATATGTATTGCACTATTCTTGGTCCCACGAAATGCCCTCGTCGTCAGATTCGGAGTCAGTGCTGTCACCTAAATGAACATCAACAGGCTGGACTTGTTTCCAATACTCTTCCTCAACTTTGATAACATGTTGGACACAGTTTGCCCAACGTACATCTGCAATTTCTCCCATCCCTTTCAAGACAATGTGCTTGACGTCGGCAAGCTTGAAGGTCTTATTTTGCCGTGCGACCATATTTTTCAAATCACCCCAGATTAGTTCGATGGGATTCAAGTCACAATGGTAAGGTGGAAGTCTAAGCACTTCGTGACCGTGTCATGCTCTGTAAGGAGAATTTGTTTTAGTTTTCGTGTTGAAATAAATTCGTTTTCTCGTGTTAACCGCCGCATC